CTATTTTCTAACTGATGACTGAGATATAGGAAAGTGAGATATTTTACCAAAAGGAATGGCCAAGAAGCATCATTTTGACTCTGCCTTTCCAATATGTCTCATCCACCCACTTGTGTACTGTTTTGGGTAGGCAAATGTACAGTGATGTCACATGGTAATTATCATGGACAGCCTCATCTTGTTCCTATATTTTACAGGCTTTAATCAGAGAATCTGATAGGAAACAAAATGGACCACCCAATTCAAATTCATCTCACTCTATACTCCCATTGATACTATTTTGTACACAGAGTGCCCACTGTTTCAGACAACGATTTTTGTGAACAACCTGCTTCAGCATTAGTCTCATGCTCCTTTGGCAAATCAAAGTCTGGGCACCTAATTCAAGATCTCACCTTGGATCCAGAAGCCAGCCTGCCTCCTAGCTGATCATACTTCAAGGATGTGATGGCTGCTTTATGTCCATTGAAGGTCACATTTCCTTCTCCACTCAGGAGACTGAAGATTCGGATAGATCCGTCCTCATAACCAACAGCTAAGTGCAGCCCATCTGGGGAGGGGCACAAGCAAGTGACTTCATGTCTAAGCCCCTGAAGGATGAGGATCTGAAATAATAAAGATTGAAAATAACGTAGAGGAGCTAAGCATGTCATCAAGGAAAAAGCATGGGACTAATCAGACACGGTGAAATTAAAAGCATCAATAATTCCAAATCGCTCTTATGAATAATAATGAAACTCTGCAGTCGGTTTCAAGTTCTTTAATATAGAAACTACTATTTGCACTAGGTAATGAAACATTCAAGAAAAGGTAAAGATATACTACACTATTTCTCCAATGCTCTACATTAGCATAATACATGCCAAAATTTCCCAGGCAAAGGAATAAATTACTAAGTCCTTATTCTATGTCAACACCAAATGATTTTCCATAAAGGCTTATAAACACATCCTTGCTTTAACTGAGCCCCATCTCAGAAACCAATGTGCATGGCACTAGAGTGCTACAGTGGTTTCTCCCCACGGGACTTTGAGGGACAATAAGGATCAAAGTATTAACCTCTTGGGAATCTCAAAGAGAGTGGACAAGATCAAAATGCCTGTATTTGGTGTGGCAGAAGTGGTAGGCTTAGGAATTCAGTTATACAAAATATCAAAGGCTAGTTTAACAAGCCTTTGGCCTCATCTGCATAAGAAGATTCAATCAACATATTCCTTTTAAATGCCTAATATTCCATAACTGAGCTTCCCTGGTGGCTCAGCGGTAAAGAATCCGCCTGCAATGAAGAAGATGCAGGTTCGATTCCTGGGTTGGGAAGATCCCCTAGAGAAGGAAGTGGCAACCCATTCCAGTATTCTTGCCTGGAAAATCCCATGGACAGAGAAGCCTGGCAAGCTACAGTCTATGGAGTTGCAAAAGAGTCAGACATGACTTAGCGACTAAAACTACTATAACAATTCTACAATTGGATCTGAGGGCAAGTAGAACTTGAAAAGTGGAGAACTGGCAGAGAAAAACAAACATGCTGGGAATAATGATTACAAATAATTACCTATAAACATCACTACAAAGAAATACCTAAGAGATAAGCTCCTATTTGGTTGTGCTTTTCAGAGTTTAGTGTAGAAGAACACAATAGAATCTTCTCCACTGTGTAAGAACACTAAAGAATCTTTCTATTGTGTTCTATTTCACATTACAAGACTTGGCTATCCAGATCCGAAGATTAAAAAAAAAACAATTTCTAGAGATGCACACATTAAAAAATATATATATATCTGTGCATAATAAAACAGACCTCTCCCACTTCTGCCTCCACCCTCAAATACCCATAAATCAGTATCAACCTGGATGACTGCTGGCTTACCTTCTCTCCTTTCCTTAAGTCCCAGACGAAAACATGTTCACACGCTGGTACTGCCACATAGCGTCCTTTTTCACCACGAAGTGTCACAAAGACAATGTTACCTTTCTGGCTGCCAATAAGCCCAAAGACGGCACTGGCAACATAGCGCAGGTACTGCTTGGTGAGTCCCATGTTTTAACATCTGATACCGCAAGTGATGCAGCTGCACCTACAAACAAAGAAGACTTAGTACCTCAGGCACCTAGGTTCTGCTGAGTTGGTGAACACCAGCTCTCCATCCGGAGAAGGCAATGGCACCCCACTCCAGTACTCTTGCCTGGAAAATCCCACAGACGGAGGAGCCTGGTAGGCTGCAGTCCATGGGGTCGCTAGGAGTCAGAAACGACTGAGCGATTTCACTTTCACGCATTGGAGAAGGAAATGGCAACCCACTCCAGTGTTCGTGCCTGGAGAATCCCAGGGACGGGGGAGCCTGCTGGGCTGCCGTCTATGGGGTCGCACAGAGTAGGACACGACTGAAGCGACTTAGCAGCAGCAGCAGCATCACNGAAGGAAATGGCAACCCACTCCAGTGTTCTTGCCTGGAGAATCCCAGGGATGGGGGAGCCTGTGGGCTTCCAACTATGGGGTCACACAGATCAGACACCACTGAACCGACTTAGCAGCAGCAGCAGCAGCACTAAATCAAATTCACTGGAAACACTTGATTATGGAGGAAAGAGACAACAGGTGAAGCAGATAACAAGCTTGTCTGTTGTATGGAAATACGAAAAGTATTCCCTGAAACACCTGTGCAACTAAAAACCACAATACTAAACAGTTTTTCAGAGCTGATTTTTTTGTTGGTGGTGGTGGTTCAGTTTGGTTTAATGCTACAGGGTGTCTCTTTCAGAGTACAACCTCTTGTTTTAGTCTACTTTAACAGGGAAATATTCAATGCTTTTGCTAACATTCCTCTTCACTGATATTTTAATGACCACCCACTGGCTTCATTTTTCTTCTAGGAACCAACATAAAGGCAGTTAAAAATGAAGGAAAGATAATATTAACATGGCTATAATGCTCTTAACCTAGGCCATTTGACTGATTCTTTCCCAATTCGTCTATTCTCCTGGCCCCAGCCCCTTAACTCTAATTGTTTCTTGGTAGTCTCTGGCCATCTACCACAGTACTTGCCCTGGAGACTTCATATAGCATGCCTAGGCCCAGGGACTCCCGCATCTCTATTTCCAGTCCTGCCCAAAGACATAATATTAACTACGGAGCTCTGAGAACTTATCAGACATCTCCATCCAAATACCTTATAGTGTCACATTCAGTATGTATAAAAACAAAACTAACTTGCTTCCTGAGCCCTATTCATTTTTTTTCTGACTCTGCGACACACAACTCTCCAACGCATTCAAATGCAAAACTTTGTAGTAACTTGTGGCTCGTTAATAATATTATTTAAGCAACCAATACTTTAAGAGTGCTTACTATCTGGTAACTAATACATAAAATGTATATAACTGAGTAAACGTGCAGATAATTGCATATAGTAGTTAATTAAATGGGTTAATACATGTAAAGTGAAAGCCACTTAGTTGTGTCCGACTTTTTGTGACCTCATGGATGATACAGTCCATGGAATTCTCCGCCAGAATACTGGAGTGGGTTGACTTTCCCATCTCCTGGGGATCTTCCCAACCCAGGGATTGAACCCACATCTCCCTCATTGCAGGCGGATCCTTTACCAGCTGAGCCACAAGAGAAGCCCAAGAAAAGTGGAGTGGGTAGCCTATCCCTTCTCCAGGGGATTTACCCAACCCAGGAATCAAACCAGGGTCTCCTGCATTGCAGGCAGGTTCTTTACCAACTGAGCTACCAGGGAAGCCCTAATACATGTAAAGCACTTTTAAAAGTCCTTCACTAGTACCTTGCACAGTACCATTCTTACTCCATTTTACAGACAAGGAATCTAGGTAGAGAGATGCGAAATAGCTAGCTCAACATCATTCAGTTGGTTTTAAATGCCAAAGCCAGGTTAGAATCTAAACTCCAACAAATTTCTTCTTTTAACCACTAAACTACTTCTCTTTGCCTCTGTCCTCTCTCTTCAGAAACTTGTTTCTCTGAAATAGGGTCCTTTCTCTCTTTCCACTTCTTTCTGTTTCAGCTCTTTATCACTGGGTTCCTGCACTAATTTTCTATGTAGCACTCCCACCTCCATGTTTTTCATTCTTTCCTTTTTAAAAGTCATTAAAACTACCTGACTAATCTTTTCAAACATGCTGTTCCTACCCCGAAGCCCTGTAAGGGCCAAACCACAGTTCCCAAGAATTCATCCTACCTATTCCTCGTTACATCTCGCATAACCTTGTCTGTCAGGCTAGTTGGTTTCCCTCCTTGTCCTATTACCTTGCCTTCCTTCACACTGTACTTAGAATAACGTACATTCTCCCGTTTCCCTAAGTGTTTTCCTCTGAGACCCACTTCCTTCGAGGCTAAAGTCTTTTGTATAGTATCAATATTAGTACTGGTCACTTGTGTCTCACATGCATGTATTTCTACTCTTTTTGGAGAGAGTTCACAATTTAACCTTTCTCTATGCTCCTACCACCCCTGCTTCCTAACCCACAGTACCCTAAAACATGCTTCTATGATGCGCTGGAAGGCTGGACCGCGGTATCAGAACTGTCAGAAGTCCCTAAACCAAGTCTTTAGACAGGAGAGTCTGAGGTGGGGGTTCCGGACACCCACCACGCTGCCAGACCATCTTTAAGCGAGCCCTGCAGACGACGGTCAACCCGCTCTACATCTCACCGGTGAACCTCTGGCGTCCGGCCGCGTCCTCCTGGGACTCATAATAATCCAGGTGCTCCTCTACCCTCAAGACCGGCCCCAAAACCCCCTGCTTCGTCTGCTGCTAGGACCACGAAGGCCTCTGCTGGGACCAAACAAATCCGAAGAGCCGAGCAAAGGCGTTCGACCGCAGCGCACGTACCTACCTGGGCCTCCACGCGGCTCGGAGCAGATTAAACCCGCCCACCGAACCCACCCCTTCCGGGTCCGCTCACGGACCCTCTTCCGCCCAACGTTCCCTTTGCCTTCTGGGGGAAATGACGTAAGAGCCGGGTTCCGATTGGTGAGCACCAGCCGGGAGCGGAAGGCGGTGTTTCGCAGCTCACGGCTCCTGCAGCTGGTCATTGCAATCTCTTGGGACTTTGGTCCGTCTTACCCGCCTAACGCCTGGCAGGGGCTGTCCGGCGATGCAACTCGGCCGCTTTCCACGAGGAACTTAGCCCGTCACACTTGCCGCCCGGATGGAACCGCCGGAATGCTGTGAGAGGCGGGACGGAGGCCGGGAGGAAAGGCGGGGCGGAGCGGGCCGGGGGCGCGGCGGGCGGCGCGCGGGACTTGGCCCCGGCTGTGGGTGCGGGAGAAGGCTGGTTCTGTCCGTTCTCTGCAAAAAAGAGCCTGGTGCTTTTCCTGCTGCTGTTTCTCGGGTTCGTCTCGCCTGAGGCGCTGTCAGGGACAAGTCACCCACCAGACGATAGAGAGCAGGCAGAGCCAGGCACGAGGAGCAGTGCTGTTCGTTGCCCCCGGGGAGACACGCGCCCTGGAGTGCAGATGAAATTGGGCGGCCGGGTGCCCTGCTGGTTGTAGCCCCAGAGTCAAGTCTGTGTGGTCGTCCGTGTGGACTGGGCGTTCCGCGAATCGAGAGCGGCTCGAATCAGGGCTGAGTAGGCACCGAGCCCAGGATGCTGAGTTGTCTGGATCCCCGCAGTCCCTGGAGTGACATTGGTCTGGCTTTCGGTTTCCGCTCCTTGGCCGCAGGAGGGGGAAGTGACCAGCGCTGACTCTTCCTTGCTTGGTAATTGAGGTTTTAGATGCTCTGTTACCGAGTGGGAATCAGCTTTTTTCTCTTGTAGTTCCGTCCGGTTTATTCTTGGGCTGCCTAGAAGTGTTCTGCACAGGAAGGCGTTCTGATGTCTGTAGCTGTGGAAAATTAAAGTTAACATAGAGCTATGTAAAATAAGACTGTCCCTTCACTTACTGTACAGGATAGCTTCAGCCAGCCTAGAAATTAGACTTTTACCTATATTATCTGATTTTCTTCAGGCGTCTCTTGAGTTTTTAAGACATGTTCACCTAGTCTGTCGTTTCCAAGAAAATTGCCATAGTAGAGAATGGATACGATCAGCCTGTTAATAGATGCAGAAGTGTAGATGTTTGAAAGAAGCTTACTGTGGGTTGGATGGATGAGAAGGGAAGTAATTGTAGCAATAGGCTATTATTTCAGTAAGTGTGATGAGGAATGGAGCCTTTAGGTGAACGTGTATGGGAACCTGGGCTTCCCAGGTGGCGCTAGTGGTAAAGAACCTGCCTGCCAGTGCAGGAGACTTAAGAGATGTGGGTTGGATCCCTGGGTGGTTAAGATCCCCTGGAGAAGGAAATGGCAACCCACTCCAGTGTTCTTGCCTGGAGAATCCCATGGACAGAGGAGCCTGGTGGGCTGCAGTCCATGGGGTCACAAAGAGGCGGACATGATTGAAGCGACCTAGGACGAATCGAGGTATGCTTAGTATGTCTTAAGGTGATGTGCATTATATTACATACATGAAAATGTATTTTTATATATGAGAAATAAATGTGCTTCACTAGTCTAGATTCAGTCTCGATGATACCCTTTGGATTATCTGATTCTAAGAAATCTATTTTACAGTTGTGTAAACTGTTGATAACTAATGTAAATACTAAATAATTTTGTCTATAGACACGGAAATGTCTCTTAGATGTTCGGTTTTGCCTCATATACTTTGGGTTCAGTATTCTTGATCTATTAATGTACCTGATTTGTGGGCCTCCCTTTATCAGCCATCTGGCAAGTTCCTTTGTGACTTAAAAATCTTAAACCATGTTCATTTTTGTATTTGAATGAGTCATGATTTTCTCTCTTAAAAATTGATGTTATTATATATTATTGGGAGGGACAACTACAAATAGAAAAAATAATTTTAATAAAAGTTGTTTTAAGATCAACTATGAATGAGTGCTAAGATAATGCATCTTATAAATTTGCAATACACCACTTCAAGAGCATAAACTTAGTTTTCAAAGTTTCAGAATTGCTCAATGTATTAATATTGTAACTGAAACATAGTAAAGTTCTTTTAATATAAAGTTAGTAGTACTAACTCACCATTGGAGCTTGTGCTTTGGCTGGTTTTGAATGATGGTGTTAGATTTGACCTGGGTCACTGACACAGCTTAGAAATATTTTTGTTATACTGTATTTATTGTTGACATAATTTGACTGCTTCCATTTGTTCTTTTGTCTAAAAAACTCATTCTTTCTATTTGCATAGAATGATTCTTAAATATAATAGATTTGGTGCTGGAGTAGGGGTATTGTGCAGAAGTATCTAATGTATCTTGAAATTTTAAATATTGAAATACAAAGACATAAAGAATAGTAAACCTATAATTTATGCAAAAACAGTGAAATGGAGCTGGTAATTAGTGGAGATCAAAAGCATGGACCAGCAACTCTCTGTACTTTTATACAGGCCTGTCTAATCAATGTAAGCATTTTGAAGAAAAAGAAGACAGATTTGGAGTTCTTTTCTCTTTTAAATGATATAGTTTTCTCCTTATTCAGGTAAAATATCGGGTTTTTTTGAGACAGTGATCTAAGATGTTCTGCCTGAATCTGCCCTGTCTTGAGCATTAAAAATCTGATCTCTCTAGCCAGTCCAGTTATTCTTATAAAGCTCTATTTAGAGGACTTCTTAAACTAGAAGATGACAAGATTTTGAGAAAAAAGACAAGCTACACTGTAATAAGAACTATTTATACTCATTACAAATGTGAATTATAAAAGATACATTGTGAGTTCTCTTTATCCTCATCTAGACCGGTACTGAAGACAACCCTTAAGATACTAGGGCTAAGGAAGTAGGTCTGATTCTGGAATCTTTTGTTTGTTCTAAGTAAACTTTCAGATTCTGGGACATAAAAGTCTTGCTTCAGGAGCCTTTTTACTAAGGTTTTGTGTTTGCTTATGAACCTGTTTAAAAGACAGAAATGATCAATTGATTTTCAGTAGAAAGTCCCACTCTTCTTTAATGCTTTCCAAAATTCTTTGTGTGTGTGCTCAGTCGTGTCCGACTCTGAGACACTATGGACTGTAGCCCACCAGGCTCCTCTTTCCATGGAATTTTCCAGGCAAGAATACTAAGGTGGGTTGCCATTTCCTACTCCAGGGGATCTTCCTGACCCAGGGATCAAACCCGTGTCTCCTGCACTGGCATATGGATTCTTTACCACTGCGCCAGCTGGGAAGCCCGCTGAAATTCTGTATACAGCTGTAGTTTATTATAGCCTTTCTCTCCTCTTTCCATCACCTGAGCGCTCTGTATTCTTTTATCAGTGGGATTGCTAATTGAGTCTGGAAAACTCCTCAGGTTTATTTCCAGATCAGTGCTTGTATGAGCTCATGTACTCACAGTTTGGTAAAAGAGTGTTTATCTGTCTCAAAGGGGTCTATGACCCCAAGAATGTTAAGAACCCCTGTTCCTGCAGGATCAGGGATCAGTTTGTCCTGACTAGCTTGGCTTTGCTGTTCCTTTTGCTTTATTGCCAAGGTGTGTATGTTGAGGGAAGGGGGATTTAAATCTCTTTTTAATGAGAAAAATATGTCCATCTATTTAAAGATGGACCTGAAAAAGAATTCACCCTTTGTTAAATACCATGACACTTTCATATAATGCAGTTAAACTTTGCCCTGCAGTAAGAGCTCTGAATATTTCTTACTGCTCATGTATAGTATACTGACAAGATGTGGTTGGAGATATAGGAGAACCATCAAAGTGTACTATCAAAGAAGATAATAGAGTTTCAAGGAGGGAATAATAAATAGTAGATGCAGCTAAAATTTAATTAAATTAGCTCTTGGACTTGACATTTGTAGAATTATTGTTGACCTTGAAGAAGCAGGTTTAGTGTTATTACAAAGATGGAAGCAGAACTGCATGGGTTAAGTACATGGAGGAAAAGAAAGGAGAGCTGTGAAACAGGTTACTCTTAAAAACTTAAATGGTGAAATATGGAGTTTGTTGGTATTCTGAAGAAATGGGGTAGGAAAAAAAATTGGAGTAGGAGACTCAGGGGGAGGAGAGATCAGATGTTATGAAGGGAAACTCGATGTTATTACCTTCCCTTAGAGGAGATATAGTCAGGTGCAGTAAAAGGCTTAAATGAAGGTGATTTGGCAAGCTTAAAAGTGTGAAATACACTGAAAATCCCTTGCAAGTTGAAAAGAGTGAATGAAGATAGAGACATTTTGATTTGTAGAGAAGTTAATTTGAACAATGACTTCTCTTAGAGCATCAGGAAAAGAAGGGAGGCAATGTGATATGATGTAATGGAAATGGCATGGGTTTTATTGTCAGCTGGTCTTCTATCTGGATCTCAAGGTACTACCTACTAGTTCTGTTACCTTGAGCTGGTAATTGAATCTCTGGTTCTTGGGGCCCTCATTGTAAAATAAGAGTTCTAATATCTACTTTGTGGGATTATTGTAAAGATTAGAAAGCATATTGCTAACAGATCTGATACCTCGTGGCTCACCATACCTTCCATAGGGGCCTTCTTTTGTTTATTTAGTGTCTTAGGCTTTTTGGTACCTTAAGGCTCCCAGACGTCTGCTTTCTGCTATCTCTAGAACTCTTCTGCTATTTTTGGTCTCAACTCTCACTTTCTGGAAGAGACATTCTCTGCTTCTTCAGCCTAAAGAGCCTCCCCTTCTTTGTTGTAACAGTATGTATTTATTGCTATAATTTTGAGTTTCTGCGATTTTTGTGGAGCTGTCTTTTCCACTAGAGACTCAGCACTTAACAGTGCTTGAATGAATGAATACCTGGGACATAATTGGCAAATAAGCATTTATTACCTGACAGTTTTTATGGGTCAGGAATTCAAAAGTTGCTTAGTCGTGTGGGTCTGGCTCAGGGTTTCTCATGAGGCTGTGGTCAGGATGTCAGCTGGGGCTGGAGGATGCAAGGTGATTCATTCCTGTGTCTGGCAGTGGACGGTGGTTGTTAGCAGGAACTCAGTTTCTCCACACAGGGGCCTTTTCATGAGCTGTGTGAGTGCGTCCCCAAATCACAAGAGCTCACTTCCCCAGAACAGGCAGTCCAAATGAGCATGGCGGAAGCCCCAATATCTTTTATGATCCATCCTTGAAAGTCACACACTGTTGTTTCTGCAATAGCCAGTTGGGTACATTGGCCAGCCTTATTCATAAGGAAGAGGTCTACACAGGGGCATTCATATCAGAAAGCACGTATCGTTGAAAGACATCTTGAAGGCTGTCTACCACAGATGCTGTGTGGAGTAGCGTAGTCATCCAAGAATGACTCAGACAATTTTCTCTGTGTTGATGGAGGGCCCAGCTGACACAAGAAAACATGCATTATTTTGACAGCAGAGAGAATAATTTCTGATTTTTCTTTCCCTAGTGGCACAGGAGCAGAATCAGAGAAAACAGATGTTGGGTTGATCTAGGTGTTTTAGGGATTAACAAATCATTATAAGGGCAGATAAATAAGAGTGTATCTTAATTCAGCAGTTTGTGTCTGGTTTATCTGTTGCTCACTAGGGAATCTTTTGACAGCATGTTGGTCTTTGCCACATGTGAAAACATCTGTATCTCAACAATGGTGCAGGTGATTTTCATATTGACTGACAAGGTTATAACACGTAGCATTTATTGCGCCTTGCTTTGTGCCAGGTGGTCTGCGGTGCAATTTTACAGATGATAATCATTTAATCCTCAAAAAGAATTGTCATTCTAACTCTTCTAGAAATAAGAAAACTCTGGTTCAGAGTCAAGGATAATGTAATTATTAAGTGGTAGGTCTTAGACCCAAACTCAGGCCTTCTGATAACCGAAGTGTGAAGTGTTAGTCAGTCATGTCCAACTCTTTGTGACCCCGTGGACTGTAGCCCACCAGGCTCCTCCATCCATGAAATTCTCTAGACAAGAATACTGGAGTGGGTAGCCATTCCCTCCTCCAAGGGACCTTCCCAGCCAAGGGTCAAACCCAATCTCCCGCGTTGCAGGCGGATTCCTTACCATCCGAGCCACTCGGAAGCCCAGGGCCCAAGCTTTTACCAGCCTACTTCTACCTCAGAGTGCAATTTCATGTGGAAATTTTTACCTGAAAATACTGAATAAACTGGATTCAAAATTGTATTATATGTACCTATCATAGAAAAAGGTAGGAACTACATCAGATTTTGAAAGTTTTCTCTCCCCTTTTTGGTATTTTTCAAGTGTTCTATGACTAAGTATTACTTAGAATTGAAGAAAAATGTTAAAGTAAGTGGTTTTGTCCTGTAATTTGACATTCAAGTTTGCAAAATGAAAGTAAATTTTTAATGAATTTTTTAATATTTTAGTTAAGTGTCAGCATGAGTCTGTCACCATATTTTTGGAAAATATTAATTTCTACAGAGTGTCATTGTGTTGAACTCAAGGCATTTAAGCCATAGACAGTGAATATAGCCTCCACATTTCCTCTATTCAGTCGTCCAGTTCCAGGCTGAATACTTGTGAACAGATCAACAGGACTTTTGGTTGCCTCTAGTTTCCTCTGGAATAGGAAATGGCAACCTACTCCAGTATTCCTTCCTGGAAATTCCATGTACAGCGGAGCCTGGCAGGCTACAGTCCATGGGGCTGCAAAGAGTTGGACGTGACTGAGCACACACGTACAGACACACATTCTAGTTTCAAAGGCTGGTTGGACAGGACTGAACATCAACTTCTAGATAGAATTTTTTTCTTTATTTTAAAATAACATCAAAGCAGTACTTAATAACAATTGAGAATAATCCTCTGATACAAAATTGGGCTTCCCTGGTGGCTCAGATGGTAAAGAATCTGCCTGCAATGCAGGAGACCTGGAGTCAGTCCCTGAGTCAGGACGATGTACTGGAGAAGGGAATGGCTACCCATTCCAGTATTCTTACCTGGGGAATCCCCATGGACAGAGAATCCTATGGCAGGCTACAGTCCATGGGGTTGCAAAGAGTCGCACACAGCTGAGTGACGAACACTTTCACTACTTTCATAATCTACAAGACCTTTCTGAAATTGTTATATAAATGAGCACATTTCCTCCCACACAGTGTTGGTACAGGAATTAGAACATTGTATCAGATCTGTAGTTCATTCCAATTAGTATCCCATGTCTCTCAGCAAGAAACACCAAGAAATTAGGTATCAAAGGGCATGCTTGTTTTCCTTGACTCTTAACGAACATTAGGATTATACAGAAAAACTTCTGAGGAAGTTCACACACCAGCTGTCATTCCCTAATCATCTGTCTGCTCCCCTGTATATACAGTGTTACCAGCAATCTTTCACTTACCATATGCACTAATTTTTAGTCCTACTCCTCCATCTTTCAGTAGCATTTAACCCTGGGTGATCCTTCTTTAGCATTCCATCTAAAGTTGTTTTCTTCGCTTAGCTTTTATGTTACCACACTTTTCTAGATCTTCCTTCCATTCTTATCAATCCTTTTCTGTGTGTGTGTCTCTCTCTCTCTCTCTCTTTTTTTTCTTTCACTTTTCTTCTTTTCCAGCCTCCAGATTTTGCCTTAGGACTGAGTCCTTGTATCTTTTCTTTATTTGCATTCTCTATCTCTGTGGTCTTGCCCAGCTCCCATAGGTTTAAATAGCATCTATATGCTGAGACCTCCAGTTTTACAAATTTAACCTGATTTCTTCTTTGAGCTCTAGCCTCAGGTAACCAATTGCATGTCTAATACAAATACTTGAGCATATAATGGGCATTTCAAATCTAACACATGCAGAAACATAAGGAAAAAAAGACCTTGATTATTACTCCGCCTGCAACCTACTCCCGTCTTCTTTTTCTCTGTAAATAGCATTATAATCTGTTTGACTGCTCAAGCAGGATATCTAAGAGCAATCTCTGTTCTTTTCCCTCACCCCTCAGGTGCTTTTAGAAGGTCTTGTTGATTCTATCTTCAAAATTCATCCAATTCTAACCATTCCTCACCACCTTCATCGCCATCTCAGCTGGATCACTCCACTTGTTTTCTCATGGTCTCTGCGTTTACTCTTGCTCCCACTCAGTTTCACTGTAGCTAGAGTAATCTTTTCAAATATTATTTACACTAAGTCATTATCTTTACAGGGACCTTCTAATAGCTTGCCCTTATTTGTGTTAAGATCTAAACCTCTTATCATGACTTACAGACTGATTCATCTGACCTTCCCTTGCTCACCAAGTTTATCACCTGCTACTCATTATCTAGCTCATTCTACTCTAGCCAGACCAGCCTCCACACTCTTCCTGGAACAGAGTACCTTCCCTCCTGCCCTTTTGCCCTTTGTACTTGCTATTGCCTTGGTCTGGCACACCCCCTAGAGCTGTACATGGTTTGCTGTCTCACTTTATTTAGCTCTCTGCTCAAATATCACCTTTTTCCTCATAATACTTATTGCCATCAACCATTCTGTTAGATACCTGCTTGCTTGCTTGCTTGCTTGCTTGCTTGCTTGCTTGTTTTTCATGTCCTTTCAAGGAAACATGAGCTCTCTAAGGGACTGCTTAGCAGGGACTGCTCTATCTTATTCACCGGTGTGTCCCCAGTGACTAAAACAATGCTTGACACCTAACAGATGCTTCCAAAGATTTATTGAATGAGTGAATCTACCGTTTTACTGAAACAGCTGTTTGACTTACTGGCAAATGAAGTGTCCTTTTCTCATGTTAAATTTCCCATGAGCTCTCTGTGGTACTTGACGCTGTGTGTATTCCTGTCACTCTTTTTTTAATTTCTACATTTCTGGACAGCCAACCTCCTACCACATCAGTGTCTCATACCCTATATTCTCTAAATCATCAGATCCTGTTAAGGCTTCCTTCATGTGTTGCCTCACAAATCTATGCTTTCCTCTCCTCCTCTACATAGTTCAGACCTTTGTTATCTCTTACTTACCTGATTGCAGTAACCTCCCTTCTTCTCACCCTCCACGTTAGACTGAACTCTAAGTTGTACATATTATTTGTCTTTGTATCTTTTGCAACATCTAACACTCCCCTCACCCTGCAGTAGCAGACACTCAAAGAATGTTGAGTGAATAGTCCTGTGTTTCTGGAAAGTAGAGCTGGTGGGCCATGTGATTATTTAAATGACTAATTCTTTGCAAATAATTAATGCTTAAATAATCTCTCTTTCTTTCTGTTTTTAAGAAAACAGTAGTAATTCATTGTTGTACATTTGATTTTTTAATGGACTATGTAAGTGACTATAATCACACAATGTCCTATTGGAGCATTTCACAGTAGAGTTTTGTTTTTTGCTCTAGTAGAAGTAAAGTAGTATCTATGCTTCTCTATTTAAATGATTCTTTCTTTTCTCTTAAGCTAAAGTCTCCAGTGAATATTGAATTGCTGAGAAATTTGGGAAAAGACAAGCTGAAGTTTCCATTCCATGGATCCCTTGGGTGCACCTTCCCAGTTTGTGGATGTGGATACACTGCCAAGCTGGGGGAACTCTTGTGAAGATCAATTAAATGCTTCTGAGATTGCAGCTGAAACATACCAGGAAGAGACTATTAGATCACCTTTTCTTTATAATAAGGATATCAATGGAAAAGTGGTTCTTTGGTAATTCCTTGTTTAAATCATATCATGATATAATACTCTCATAATTTCTTCTAAATTCTTTTTTTCATAATTTTTTCTAAACTCTTTTTGTAAAGCCTCTCATTATTAAAATATTACTTTTCATATACATTTACAGCTTTACTGAGACATAAGTGATATACAATAAACTGCACTTAGAGTGTACAGATTGTTAAATTTTGACATGCATACACCTGTGATCCAGTCATCAGAATCAAGATAGTAAATATATTTATCACCCCCAAAAGTTTTTTGTGTATCTCTTGGTAATCCCTTTCTCCCACTCCTCCCTGCTTCTACATCCCCAAGCACCCATTCATATTTCTGTCACTATAGATTAGTTTGCATTTTCTATAAATGGAATCACGTACTTTTTTTTTAGTCTCGCCTCTTTCATTCAGCATAATTATTTGAGAATTGAGCTATAGTGTCGCATGTATTGGTAGTAGTAGGACACTTCTCTTTATAAAAGACTTTTTAAGAGCTCTTTTTAGAAAAGCTTCAGTGAGATGGAATTCATATATCATGCATGCATGCTCAGTCACTTCAGTCATGTCCGACTCTTTGCAATCCTATGGACTGTAGTCCACCAGGCTCTTCTGTTCATGAGATTTTCCAGGCAAGAATCCTGGAGTGGGTTTGCCATGCCCTCCTCCAGGGGATCTTCCCAACCCAGGGATCGAACTCACATCTCCTGCATTGCAGGTGCATTCTTTACCCACTGAGCCAACTGGGAAGCCCCAATTCACATATTATACAATTCACTAATTTAGCTTGTACAAGTCAGTGGTTTTCAGTACATTCACAAAGTTGTGCACCCATCACCATGGACAGTTTTCATCAACCCAAAGTCCTGCACCCATTAGCTGTCACTCCCTGTCTTATACACATCTCTTAAGAAAGAAGAAAAAGAATGGCATAATGGTTTTGTGAGTTTCAAGATTTTAGCACTTGTATTCAAGATCTGATATGGTATATTAGCCTTTCTGAGTCAGGAACAACTTTTTTTTTTTTTTTAACTATTGCTCAATCTTGTGAGCTAATAAATAAATGTACCCACCCCCAACTTTCTGCTCCAATAAACCACTAATCTACTTGTTATCTCTAGATTTGCCTATTCTGGACATTTAATAAATGGAATCAATTGTGATGTAGCATAATGTTCTTAAGATTCATCTGTGTTGTAGTATGAATCAGTTATTTATTCCTTTTTATAGCCAAGTAATATTCCATTGCATGGGTGTACCACATTTAGTTCATCAGTTAGGAGATAGACACCTGGGTTGTTTCCACTTTTTGGCTATTAGGAATAATGTTGCTATGTTTAAACTCTTTAAAAACCACCTACTTACAGCTCTGTAAGACTTCTGTTACGATGTAACAGGCATATGGAAGAAGCCAAGGAGTGACATGATAATTTTATGGGTTTCACAGTTGAAGCACTTTTCATTCAGGATCTATCTGAGATGCCTTATTAGCCTTTCTGAATTAGGACAGCTTTTTAATATTGCTTAAGTTTGTGAACTAGTAAAACCAATGTTGTGAAGGCAGTGAAGACAGAATGTTTTGAAAGAATCAGAAACTAACATTCTTATCTGCCTCCTCTTCCCCACACTTGCTTTTAATTATTGTTTCCTCAGGAAAGGAGATGTGGCTTTACTGAACTGTACGGCTATTGTGAATACCAGCAATGAAAGTCTTACGGATAAGAATCCTGTGTCAGAAAGTATCTTCATGCTTGCAGGGCCTGATTTGAAGGAGGACCTCCAGAAACTTAGAGGTAAGTGAACTTTCTTAGGTCTATTAGTGCTTAGGAAGCATATATTTTGATGTTTGACAAAGTATGGTTTTCATCCTTTTGTTATTAAATTACGGCCTCTGATAAACCCACAATGTGTTAATGCTGAAACCTTTACTCAGTAAAACTCTGTTGTGTTCCTGAATCTTAAAATGACAGTTGTCATAGTCAGTTAGATCTTTGGTAACATTTTCTTGGCTGTATATGTCTTGCACTGATAAGCTTTATAAAACAACTGTGCTTTGTCTAAACTGAAGCTTTTTTAATTGAGTTTTGATATTGACAGAGAAATTTTTACGTACCTTCTGGACATAAGAGCGTGGCACTTTTGTAATGAAATTGAATTACTGGCAAAAAACCAAAGTGCATTTTAAGAGCAAATACATTCTGGGTTAATTCTGTACTTGCTGTTTTTGTTTCTTTTAACCGGAATGTTGTTCTTCTGGGAATATTTCTTTGGAATTGGAAACAAGAGGAATCTTGTTTACTTTATTTGCAGTTATTTTCTTAATTTGCCAACCTGGCAACTTTGTTGTTGTTATTTGAGTGCAAAGAGAATATTATGAAATTTAGTCATCCCATTTTATAAAAAATATTTATGAAATAAAACAATTTTTCTTAAAATGTAAACAACAAATCCCATCTATATAAGTCTTCATTTCTTAGACCACTGCCATTTAACACTGACTATTGGTTTCTAACCTAACAAAGATTAGAATTTGAACAGGAACATTTATAATATTGACCATGAAAGAAGGGATAGAGAGAGAAGAGTTAATTATCTTATCAAGAAACTAAATTTTGACCGTGACGGGGGAAGTTGGGGGAAAAGCCCTCAGTTTAACTAAAAGCATGATGCCATGAGCAACATGTAGAAATTGCAAAATGAATTAGGGATAAAACTAAGTTCTTTGAAAAGAGTAACAGAAACTGGTCTGGAAAAATTCCTGATGGCCTCTGTGTGTGTGTATGTGTGTATTCTCACTTACACCTTAAATCTGGACTTAAGACTTTAAAAAAAATAAAATGATGAAATTTAAGTTTACAAAATAAAAATTCAATTTTTAGCAGCATATCTTTGGAGAGTCTTCAAGCTGGGGTTCATATAACTCTGTCCTTGACTGACTATGTGACTTAAGACTAGTTATTCTGCCTCTGAGCATCAGTTTTCTTATCTCTAAAATGGGGATGATGATAGTAGTTCCTGATAATAATCCTTACCTCAGTTCCTGACACATAACGAGAGCTCAATGAATACGTGAAAATGGAAAAAATTATTATCATGAAAAATAAATTATGTAATGGATATTAAATGCTAGGCACATCCTAAGTGTTCAGTATTATATATGGTGCTAGCTACACTACTGAGTTGTATTGCTTAATGAATCAATGCCAACCTGGAGAAAGATTATCAGTGATGCTAAATACTTAAGTCTGTCCTCTTTTTAACCTTTTTAATAACAACTCAGTAAATGATTACAAAGTATGACTTACTGAATCTGTAGATGATAAAAATGGTAAGAGGAGTAACAAAGGAGAGACATTAGGTTATAGACTAAAGATTCTTAAATATCTGAACTGACTAGACGTATGAGCCAAAAAATGGAAAAATTGACAGGGATGAATATAAAAGTATTGCAGTAAGTTTAAAACGTTAATTACCCAAGTTCAGAATGGGAAAATGCAATCTAACAGCTTTTCTTAGGTGAGAATTTGCTATCTCAGTAAAATGGCACTATCATCATCCACTGCCTTTTTCATGCAAAAATCTTCAGGGTTAACACTTTGCTCTTTCTTTTTCCCCACATGTCTGTCATTAAGCCCTAAATCAATCTTGAATCCTTCTGTGTTACCACTGCCTTCATCCTAGCCTGTGCTGCCATCATCCCCGTCTGGCTTATAGTCATTGCCTTCCTCACAACTGGTCTCCCTACATCCATTTTTTTTCTTAAATCTGTTTTCCACATACAGGAAGTATTTTCTTTTTAAATTGTAAATCCCATCTTATTGCTCCCCTGCTTCAGACCGTTTAGTGGCCTCTCATTACACTCAAAATAAAATCCTGACTCCTTATACTGGTCTCCAGGGGCTTGCAAGATCTCACGCACTTCCAGGGCCCCTTTTACCTTCCTCAGTGTGCTTGAACTAAACTGATCTCCTGCTGCCTTGTCATCCAGCTCCTTTTCAGGTTTGCATGTACTATTAAGTCTTTGCTTACATCTCTTCCTCAAAGCACTGTTTTCTTTTACTTCAGAATTGATCATTCTACCCATGGTATAACTTCCAGCCTACAGTACTTCTCTTGGAGCTCTTAATTCTAATTTTATGAATTGTTTGTGTAATGATTATGTCCCCATTAAACTTTGAACTCCATGAGGACAGGAACTGTGTATCTTACTGTCCTCTGTGTTCCCAGTACCAAGAACAGTAAAGGCATCCTTTCAGTAGCTAATAAATAAATGAATAGACGTTCCCTGGGATTTTAACTTAAACTCAGAGGTGATAATACATCATTTCTACTGAAAACACTAACAGTATCAGATGCATCATTTTATAACATCACAAGTGAAGGTTTGTTATCAGCTTAAAATAGACAATTATATCTATAAGATGTTTGATGTAATCCTCATGATAACTACAAAGAAAGAACCTATGACAGATACACAAAAGATAATCAAAGCATACTAGTTAAAAAAAAAAACAATACAGTAAGAGAGGAATAAAGGATAAAGGACTTAAAAAGAAAACCCATAAAACAGTTAGCAAAATGACAATAATCACTTATTAATAATAATTTTAAATGCACAAGGGCTGAATTCTCCAACTAAAAGACACAGAGTAGCTGAAGGATTTAAAAAAAAAAATTCCAACAATATGCTGTTTACAAGAGATTCACTGTAGCTTTAATGATACATACAGGCTGAAAGTGAAGAGACTAAAAAAAGATAATCCATGCAAATGGAAACCAAAAGAGAGTAGGCATGGCTGTACTTATATGGGGTAAAATAGACTTCCTGTCAGAGTTGGTCAGAAGAGACAGAGGTCACTGTATGGTGGTAAAAGGATCAATTCATCAAGAGGATATAAGAGTTGTAAATATGTGTGCATCCAGCATTGAAGCACCTATGTATCAAAGAGAAATATTAATAGAACTGAATGGAAAAATAAGACAGCAATAGAGTAATAATTGAGGACATCAGTACCCTACTTTATAAACACTGGATAGATCATCCCAGAAAACTAGTAAGGAGACAGCAGGCCTGAATAACACTATGGTCCAAATGAACCTAACAGACATGTACAAAAAATATCAGAATACACATTCTTCTCAAGCATACATGGGACATTCTCTCTGGTAAATTATATTAGGCCACAAATCAAATCTTACCAAATTTAAGAAGACTGAAATTATGCAAAGAATCTTTTCTGACCACAATGGTGTGAAACTAGAAATCAATAACAAAAGGAAAATGAAAAAAAAAAGTCCCAAGTATGTGGAAATTAAGCACCATACTTCTGAAAAACCATTGGATCAAAAGGGAAATCAGAAAGCTATTTTGAGACAAAGAAAATAAAACATGCCAAATTTATGGGATGTAAAAAAAAAATTTTAACCCATTTATAAGAGAAATTTATAGCAATAAATTCCTACATTAAGAGAAGAGAAGAAGCTGAAGTAGAACGGTTCTATGAAGACCTACAAGACCTTTTAGAACTAGCACCAAAAAAAAGATGTCCTTTTCATTATTGACTCAATGGACATGAGTTTGGGTAAACTCTGGGAGTTGGTGATGGACAGGGAGGCCTGGTGTGCTGCAGTTCATGGGGTCGCAAAGATTCGGACACGACTGGGCGACTGAACTGAACTGAAAAAAAGAAAACAATCTCACACAGCCTAATTTTAAGCCTCAAGGAATTAGAAAAAAAAAATCAGTCTAAACCTATAATTATCAAAGGGGGATGGAAATAATAAATATTAGAGCAGAAATAGAAAATAAGCAGTTGAAAAAAGAAATAAAGAGTTGACTTTAAAAATAAAAAAAGGAGAAATGTTTATCCAGACTAACCAAAGAGGGAAAAAGGACTCAAACAAAATTCTAAATGCAAGTGGAGATAAGTATCACAGCTAACACTATAGAAAGACAAGGGATTATAAAAGACTAGTATGAACAGTTGTTTGCCAACATATTGGATAACCTAGAAAAAACATAACTTCCTAGTGAACATGCAGTTTACCAGGACTAAACCATGATGCAATAGAAAATCTGAATGGGCGAAAAGAATAAGGAGTTTAAGTCAGCAATCAAAAACCTCCCAACAGAGATTACCCATGACCTGGTGGCTTCCCTGGTAAATTATACCATATATATATATACATATAGAGAAGAATTAATTTCAGTTCTTTTCAAACTCGGTCAAAAAGTTGAGTGCATAGTTCCAAACTTGTTTTACGAGGCCTGAAAACAAAGCCAGACAAGGAAACTACAAGAAAAGAAAAATACAAGCCTATATCCCTGATAAGTATAGATACAAAAACTCTCAACAGGATAGTAGCAAACCAAAGACAGCAGCAATTTAATTATATCATCCTTTCAACAGATGAAGAAAAAGCATTTGACAAAATTCAGCACCTCTTTGATGATAAAAATTCTCAAAATATTTGATGTAGAGGAAACATACCTCAACATAGCCAGAACAGTTAGACAAGAAAGTGAAACAAAAGGCATCCAAATCCAAAAGAAATAAAATTGTTACTGTAATATTGTTAATATCCACTCAAAGCCATCTATAGGTTCAGTACAATCCCTATCCAAACTCCCATGCTGTTTTTCACAGAAATAGATAAAACAATTCTAAAACCTTATGGGACTACAAATGACTCCAAATAGCCAAAGAAATCTTAAGAAAGAAGAGCAAAGGTTGAGGCAACACACTTCCTGGTTTCAAACTATACTACAAAGCTGTAATTATAAAACCAGTAACATCACTTGCCTTTGTCTGATGTAGTCCTTCATTTTTTGTGAGTAAATCCACCATAAGATTTGTGAGAATGGTGGAAGGGGGCAAAACTATTGAGATCTTACTTCTACCTTCAAACTTAATTGGTAGTTTGGATGGAAATAAAATTCTGGGTTAGAAATTATTTTCCAGACTTTTGAAGGCATTGCTCCATTGTTTTCTGTTTTCATTATTGCTCTTGAAAAATGTAATGTTATTATTCCAGATTCTTTGTATGTTACTGGTTTCTTGAAACTTTTATTATCTCATCTTTATTTCTGATGTTCTTTTATTATAATTTAAGTGATGTGGTATGGTCTAGTTTGGTTATTCCATACGCTCTTTGAGTCTAGAAACTTACCTCTTTCCATTATAGGAAATTTCTTGTTTTATTTGTTTAATAATTTCCTTCCCTCTGTATTCTCTGTTCTGTCTTTGAAGAAACCTGATTGAATCTGTACCTCCTGTTTCATCCTCCAAGTTTTATCTCTTGTCTTCCATCTGTTTATCTTCTGGTAGATTCCCTTAACTTTAACTTTGACTTGTCTATTGAACTTTTTATGCCTGCTGTCATATTTTTCACTTAGCTATAACAATTAGATAAGTGCCTTTTCCTGTTCTCTGAATATTTCTTTTTTTAAATATAACCTTCTGCTTTTGTTTCAGATGTAGTGTTTTCTTTATCTCTCCAAGAGCAGTAATTATGGTGTTGGGAGTTTTTTTTGCTCATTTTTAAATTTTCCTTCCCAATATTGTCTTTTTTTTTTTTCCTGGCTGCTCTGAGTCTTTGTTATGGTGCATGGGCTTTATCTAGTTGTGGTACAAGGGCTTCTCGTTGCGGCATGTGGGCATAGTTGCTCCATGGCATGTGGGATCTTAATTCCCTGACCAGGGATGGAATCAACGTCCCCTGCATTGGAAAGCAGATTCTTAACTACTGAACCACCAAGGAAGTCCCAACATTGTCTATGAAAGAGGGAGAGTGAAAAAGCTGTCTTAAATCCCAGCATTAAAAAACTAAGATCATGGCATCTGGTTCCATCACTTCATGGCAAATAGAAGGGGAAAAGTGGAAGCAGCATCAGGTTTTATTTTCTTGGGCTCCAAAATCTCTGTGGACAAGGACTGCAGCCATGAAAATAAAAGACATTTGCCCCTTGGAAGGGAAGCTATGCAGACCTAGTCAGCGTGTTAAGAAGCAGAGACATCACTTTGCCAACAAAGATCAGTATATTCAGAGCTATGGTTTTTCCAGTAGCATTGTACAGGGGTGAGAGTTGGACCCTAAAGAAGGCTGAGCACCAAAGAATTGATGCTTTTGAATTGTGGTGCAGGAGAAGACTCTTGAGAGTCCCTTGGACTGCAGGAACATCAGACCAGTCCGTCCTAAAGGAAATCAGTCCTGAATATTCATTGGAAGGACTGATGCTGAAGTTGAAACTCCAATGCTTTGGCCACCTGATGCGAAGAGCCAACTCATTGGAAAAGACCCTGATGCTGGGAAAGTTGAAGGCAAAAGGAGAAGGGGACAGCAGAGGATGAGATAGTTAGATAGCAACACTGATGCAATGGACATGGATTTGAGCAAACTCCAGGATAGAGTGGAAGACAGAGGAGCCTGGCTTTCTGCAGCCCATGGGGTTGTGAAGAGTTGGACACGGCTTAATAACTGAACAACAGAAACAGTTCCTCACTTCTGGTGATCCTCAAGTGTCAGCTTACTCAGTATGGAAGAATTGAGAAGCTGCTGGGAAGCTTTGTGTGCACAGGCAGGGGTCATTAATTGCTTGGTGGATCTTAAAGCAGATGATGAGCAGGAACCCTGTTGTTTCAGTGAGGAACCATCCCTAATTTATCAGAATCCATAGGCCCTTTGGTTTGAGCCTCTTAGTTTCCTGAAAGAGAATCTTCCAGGGGTATAAACATGAATGTCTGTGTTAGAAGCCAGTTAGGAGCAGAGATCTGGAGCTATTACTCTAAGTATAACACTTTAATGAAATCCCATCTTTTCAGCCGTGCCTGGGGTTCTGGAGTTCAGAAACTCTCTAGTTCAGTATCTCCTGAGAATAAACCTTCCTGTGGTGGTGGTAAAGAAATCATCACCTCGCTGTGCTGGCCGAGTGAGAGATTGTTGCAGATGGAATGTTTTCATACAGACTTTTAACTCACACTCTTTTTAGTCCCGCTTCACATTATAGCTTTAGAAGTTCTTAGGACCTCCAATTTCTGAGCCTTTCTAGTGTTCTTCAGTAATAACAGCAACAATAATATTAATAGCTAATTTCTGAATTCACTTTGCATATGTTAAAACTCATTTAATCCTGAGAATTAAGTACTACTAGTGTCTCTCTTATACAGGAAATTGGAGGCCAAACCTTTGTCCAAAGTGTCATAGCAGGAACATGGTAGATTCAGGATTTGAATCAGACCAGTCTGTCTTCTCTCCAACACTGCCTTGCAGAGCACACCAGTTTGCTTCATAATGGTCATCCCAGTTTCTGCAAGCAGTTAGATTTCTCTGCTTTGCTTAATTAGTTGCTTCTAGTCCACTGACTTTATTCCTTCCAAAATTTTGATGGTGTTTTTCTGCTTCATGTTCTCTCCCACCTTCTTTGTCTCCGTTTTTATACCTATTGTATTGCTTTACTGTCATTTGGTGATTAGAGACAAATGTTTGTGTTCAGTCCATATTTTTAACTGAAATTTCTCAAAAGTTCTTAATACTTTCTCTGTTTCATGCATTGTTCTGTTGGTTTGTTGTTCTTGTTTTTCTGAACAACTCCGCGACTTACATATTCTCCGTTATTCCCAGGTTGCCGGACCGGTGAAGCAAAATTGACCAAAGGGTTTAATCTAGCTGCCCGGTTCATCATTCATACGGTGGGACCTCAATACAAGAGCCGCTACCGCACCGCCGCTGAGAGCTCCCTGTACAGCTGCTACAGAAACGTTCTCCAGCTGGCGAAGTACGGCTGATCCAGCTCCTAGACGCAGCACGCCGTGTATTGTTAGAATGAGACCTAGCTTTGAAAGTCAGACTTTGAGGGATTTAGATAACTTAGGAGGGTCCTGAAAGTAGAATTCATCATCTTCTCAAACTTGACAGAATCAAAGGAGTGGATTTAGGTGACTTGAGAATTTAACCTGTTCCCATTTCACTTAATTCCCATTTTACTCAAAATGTATTTCCCCCAAATGGTGCAGTTAAGTTATATATTAATATAATTATTATATAGTGCAATTGGGTTAACTATGGCAGATTTGTTGAAGGGACAGGGAAGGAGAAATAAAGTTGCATTTTTTTGTTTAGTTATTCTGAAGGTTTGCGGTATAATTTTTGTGTTTTCTGTTTGATTGCAGAGAGCAGTCCATGTCCTCTGTTGGATTCTGTGTCATCAACTCTGCAAAACGAGGTTACCCTTTAGAGGATGCAACACACATAGCACTTCGTAAGTAATGTTGGAGAAACTATATAAATTAGCATAACATTTCCTAAGTAGGATGGGGAATGCTGTACATAAATTGAATTTAAAAAGAAAAGCTTTTTATCACTAGTTAAATAGTTATAGCTAAAGAAGGTTTGTTGATTAACTGATCATGGCACCCTGGAGGTTTGTATTGACAGATTGCAGAGCTCTCAGTTTACTTTCTAGGTTTGACATTTTAATCCATTTGAATAAAGGCTTAGAAAAGTTAACTATTAAGTTTGAAAAATGATACCAAGCTGAGACACATTTGGTATTCAAATGATAATTCAGAATAATCTTAGCAGATTGCAACAATGATGTCAAACAGATTTTATAATATCAGATTGATATAGCACTTTGCAGTTTAAACAGTATTTCATATGTGCTATTTAAATATAAAACCCTGCATTTAGGTTTTTAAAAGACTAGACTCAATCATTATGAGGCAGAATGTCATATATGTTAGGTGAAAATATGATACTCAACTCTAGGGAGTCCCTGATCTTACTGTCTTATACAGGTTCAGACCACATATCGAGTTTTGTATATAGTTCTCCATATCATATCTCATGAGTCTGACAAATTGGAGGGCAAACAATTTGACACATTAGTGGTATTTCTTCTGAAGAAGAACATGGTCTTAGCATGCATGGTACCCAGATATCTCAAGGAGTCTTGTGTGGACTTTTTTCTATGTGACATTTTTAGAGCAGTAGTTCTTAACCTTTTTGGAAGTCGTCATAAGCTATGATAAGCACCTGATGAAAGAAAGCTGTGGACCCTTTCCCAGAGTAATGTACATACGTAGGATATTTACAAGCTCTTTCAGGAAGTTCACACATCCATTTAAAGATTGTGGGCAAGATGTGCAACTTTACAGGATAGGTCTAAGACCAGGTGACGGGGAAGATTTGGTCCCACCTGAGATGGACTATCTGCAATAGAAAGGTATTTTAAGTGAATTTTTTGTCATTCAGAATGTTCACACCGAGGCTAAATGATCATTTTATTTGGGAAGGATACTATACGAGATCATTTTACAACCCCTTTCTATTTCTGGAATTTAAAGATGTATTATATTAAATTAAATATTAAAGTATTATATTCACCAAAAAATTACAGTAGTGTGTGAATGTATGAAATTATTATTACTATTACTAGGTTATATGTCTAGAATTTAGAGTGAGAGCATATTCAATCTTAAATGTATTTGATGATTAGTTATTTTGAAAACTAAAATTCTTCTTATTCAAAGATTTTATAGTAAATTGATATATTTTATAGTTACAGCTTATATACATTATACTTACATTAAGTTTCTTGAGGAGCAGAGATCGTTTCTTATCATCTGTGTGTTTCTAGTACTTTATAAATGGTTCTTGCTGAAGAAATACGTATCTTAAAAAGAGATAAATTCCATTTTATTTCTTCCATTAACCCTGAGCTTTAAATACTGTAGTATCTGTTTTACAAATAAAGAGGCTCAGAAATTTATCATGTTCTTAGAGTTATGCAACTCTAAGATATATACTCCTGGATATATTGGAACATATATCCAGGCCTTCTGACTCCCAAGTCTAGTAACCTGTGCCTTATACTACATAATTCATTATGCTTGAGTCAGGACTGCTTTGGTGGGAAACTGTGTTATGGCTAGCCTGTGTGTATTCTGAGTGATCCCTTACCAAAGCAGAGTTCCTGCCTCTGTGTAATTCCTCCTGGCAAGGCTTTTGGCAGGTTTCAACTGTCTCTGGTTTCACTTAACCTGTGCCCCGTATCTCATAGCTTGAGATAGGCCTGTTATGTCTCCATCTTTTAGTGAAGTAATCATATGGATTAGAATTTAAAGAGGCACCATTATTTTGGAGAAAAGGCTCTGAAAAACAATTTAAGACTACTGGTTTTTGGTCCCAGTTCTGCTAATCTAATTCTAGCTCTGTGGCCCCCAGAAAAGTCACTTGATGCATTACCATAAAGGAGTCAGCTCTGAACAGTAATTGTAGAAACAGCAGATAAAGATCAAAAATAGGCATAAGGGACTTTGGTGAAGCAATTTCCGGAAATTTAATTAGCACAAAGGAAATGTAAAGCTTTAAGATAAGCATGTTAACTTGTATTTTAGAAGACCTGCTTGACTTATTACACCTTAAATCTAATAGCAAAACTGTACCATTTCATTAAAAAATATACACACACACACAAACACAATTGTGCCCTTTGCCCATATGCTTTCTGAGCATCTGGGAAATAAATGGCCTTTAGGTTTTTATAGCATATACGGGCCAAAAACAAATCTAAGGATGTTACTCTTAAGTTCCTAGTTCCAAAAGCTGTCTCACTTATTAAACTAGTACTGAAATTTATCTCATCTGAAGTCTAAGTAATATCTTCTTGATAGTTGTACCAAGGCTCTTTATCTTTTTATTTTTCCTTAGTTCATTTGCAGTTTAGTTTTTCTCCAGAAGAAACCTTAAAGAACCATCTGCATTTAGATAAATTTATTGGGTTATTTACTCATTCAACAGAAGTTTGAGTGACTACTGTGCTCTAAGCCGTGCTGTTTAGTAGAGAATACAATGGTGAGAGAAAAAGGCAATGATATCTTTACTGTGTTCCCAGGTTGAAAATTTTAATGTCCTACATGTCATTCTCACCCATTGTGAATGATGAAAGTGCAAGTTGCTCAGTTGTGTCCAACTCTTTATAACCCCATAGCCTATACAGTATATGGAATTCTCCAGGCCGGAATACTTGAGTGGGTAGCCTTTCCCTTCTCCAGGGGCTCTTCCCAACCCAGGAATCAAACCCAGGTCTCCACTGCAGGTGGATTCTTTACCAGCTGAGCCACAAGGGAATCCCAAGAATCCTGGAGTAGGTAGCCTATCCCTTCTCCAGCGGATCTTCCCAACCTGGGAATTGAACTGGAGTCTCCCTTGAACAGTTTTTACTAGAAGTTAGGCACTTGGCATTTTGATTGGTTGTAGAGTACTAAAACCATGTAGCCATGATAGCACTCTTTGTTTTTTTCCTCCTTTTTGCAGAATTACTTTTCTGAATGAATTCTGCTATTGAAAGAATTCAATTTGGTTACTAGTTATTGTTGTATTTTGTCTTCCAAAGGAAATCCCACAGTTTTATGCTGCAAAACTATTGTGTTTAAACTTTAAAACTTGGTGTCAAAGTGAATAGGATGGAAGAAATTCTTTAAAAAAATTTTTTTTAATTATTAGAACAGAGGGAAAGATGAGAAATTTGTCCCCAGTGGAGAAAGAATTAGGAAGTTTTGTTCAGTCCTTCAACAAATGGGTCTCCTCTGTTAGGTTCTCGAGGTACAGTAGTGAACAAGACAGGCTATACTATGTCAGTAACCAGAACCATAAAATGTTATTCAGTCATTAGTTATTTTTGAATGATTGCTTGCCATATTCCTCAGGTGTGGTAGGCCTTAGTAATATTAATGTTAAGTTTACTTGGCATTCAGAAAGCTCACAGTCTAGCTATAAACTGCTGTGAGAAGTTCACAAAAGGAGGGCTGTTCAGACGATTATAGGGGTGACATAAGGACGGATCACGTTATCTGAAGGAGATGGTCTTTGATTGGGTAGAGAGAAATGAGCAGGCGTTCGCTAAGAGAGGGTCATGGTGGATAAAGGGTGTTCTAGTCAAAGGTAACGTGAAAGCAGAGGTAGGGGAACATCACAGCAAGTGGCATGTTCTGAGTCCAGCAAAGCAGCCAGTGGCTGAAGCATATGCTGTAGTTGGAAATAGAGCTAAGGGGTGAAGGTGGAAGGGTGCTTAGTGGTCAGTGTGGAGAGCCGTGCTGGGGCCTTTGGATCTGAACCTGTAAGCAGTGTGGAGCCATCAAAAATGTTTAGCAAGGTGGATAACATAAGATAACTTAGGGGCAACAGTGAATATACAGGCTGGGAAAGAAACACGAGAGCAGTTGAGAGCTTATTGCCAGTGTTTGTAAGCACTGAGAGCCTGAGAGCAGCTGGAAGAGAGCAGGAATGGCTGTGAGAAATATCAGCAGTAGAATATAAAGAACATGATAACCCACTGAAAGTACAGGATGAAGGGAGACGTGAAGGAAGTGTCAGAAAATTCAGGATCCTAGCTTAGGTGAGGGGTTGGATGTCGCTGTGTAACTGAAATAAGGAGTGTGACAAAGGAGCAGCAGTGTGGGGAGAAGCGGAAGTCAGGTCTGGTCCTGTTGGGATCAGGTTTGGACATGTTGAGTTTGAGGTCTCGGTGGGGAGTAGGGAATTTCAGGGTTTTTTTGTTCATTGAGCAGAGTATAGAGAACAAACATGGATACCAAGGAGGAAATAGTGGTGGCGAGGGGGTAGAAAGGGATGAATTGGGAAATTGTTGCTGACATATATATGCCACTATGTATAAAGTAGATAACTAATGAGGACCTACTGTGTAACACTGTACTCACAGCTCTGTGGTAACCTAAGTGGGAAGGAAACCAAAAAAAGAAGGGGTTTATATATACACAGGGCTGATTCACTGTGCCCTATAGCAGAAACTGACATAGCAGTGTGAAGCAGCTGTGCTCCAATTTAAAAAAGAAGAAGAAAACAGTGTAAAAATTTGGGAGCCATCAGCATTTGGAGTACTATCTAAGCCTCAAATGAGTGAGCTCAAGAGAATATATATATATAAAGAAAACAAAAAACATGGAGGACAGAACCTGGAGAGGACAACATTTTTAAAAGTTGGGGTGTGAGCATCTGGAAAGAAATCGCTGGTAAGTTAAGGACTGAGAAAAGGCGACTTGGTCTCATTATTAGCAAGTTTAGAGAAAGAATAAGATAGAAGTGAAGAAAAAATAATTCAGTTTTGGTTTGATAGGATATTGAGAGGACCACCTGATGCAAAGAGCCGACTCACTGGAAAAGACCCTGATGCAGGGAAGGACTGAAGGCAAAGGAGAAGGGGGACGACAGAGGATGAGATGGTTGGATGGCATCATTGACTCGATGGACATGAGTTTGAGCAGACTGCAGGAGATGGTGATGGACAGGGAGGCCTGGCGTGCTGCAGTCCATGGGGTCTCAGAAAAGTCAGACACGTTTTAGCGACTGAACAGCAACAATAAAAGCGCTGAGTAGGGCATTTAATACTGTAACAGATGAATGGGAAGGCACTTGTGCTAGACCATTCTGGTCAGAGAGGGAGGCCCCAGAGAACAGAAAGAATATACTAGATAAGGGAGAATTGTCTGGAGTCAGCATCTTCTATGGCCAGCCGCTGTTTACTGGCAATAAAGCAGTAAATAAAACAAAACTCTTGCTGTTGTCTGGAGCTTTCATTCTAATGGATAGGGCAGGGACAGAGGGGGAGGATATACAATAAACAGGAAGCATCACAAAATAGCTAAAATAGTTGCTGTGGAGGAAAGCAAAATCAAGGAAGAGTTTTTAGATAGGGTGGCCTGGGCAGGCCTTACTGATGCGGTGTCATTGAGTACAAGCCTGAACGAATGGAGCAGTGATCCGTTACAAAAATAAAACTTGGAAAGGACTGATTTTTCTTCACACATAAGTAACTTCTCATTTATTATTATTTATTAATAATCCTTCTGTTACTTTCTTTAGGCACTGTAAGGAGATTCCTCGAAATTCATGGAGAGACTCTTGAAAAAGTAGTGTTTGCTGTCTCTGAACTAGAAGAGGTATTTCGCTAATTATCTTCATCAAGTCTTATTTTTACTTGTGTTTGCCTTTGTGTCTTCATTATCTGTTAACTGAATTGCCAGCAGGCAAATCCTCATTATCTGTGCATATATCTGGCAATGGGACTTACCATCATTGCCATGAAAGACTGTACTAGAGACTAGAAGCTAGTCAAGAGGAAGCATTTTGTTCATATGTTTCACTGGTAAATTGTTATCACATAGTGAAACCTTACAAGGCGGAGCTGCTCTGATTTACCCACATGTTAGCTCTCAAGACATCTCAAGGCATTGCCTTGTGACCTAAGCCCTGGGCCCTTGGGCAGCAGAGCTGGAAAACAACCTCCGCTGGAAAAACCCTGGTGTCTGCCTGACCTGGAAGCAGGTGACAGCCTAGCCTAGTGGCGAGTATTGCGTAAGTTATGAGGTTTCTGTTTCATTGTATGTGGTGAGGTTTATTATATTTCAACTTAATTTAGAGCTGTCTTAGGAAATTAGCTCTTTTTAAAATCTTACTAAGCTTTGTTCAGCTGTAGTGTTCTCTGTCCCATTCAGCTTGTATTATTTCTGAATTTTGTGTCCTTGGGCAAGTTGTTTAACCTCTGTGTGCTTGGATAAATTATGAATACTGATAGTACTTATATCACAGGAGTTTTGTAATTAGTACATGTATTTCACATATTTCTGTATTTCCATTCACAGTATATATAGGTATATATGTGAGATATAAACCATCTTGAATTTGCTGAAGACAGACACATGTACCATGTTTGCTGTATCTCTTGTTTTACCTGGTTTGCCTATTCATTCATTCTCTCAGTGACCTTTATTTTTGAATGTCTGGCATGTATCAGGTTTACTAGTCCCAGAACCTGACTACACCAGTGAATGAATCACGGTCGTTGTCCCCAAGGAACCCACTGTCTGTTGATGGGGACAGACAAGTCAGATAAGTTACAGTAATTGTGACAAGTGCACCAATGGAAGCATGGGAGGGATAGGGGCACACAGCTCCAGTCTGGCGTGGGGTTAGGAAATAACTTCCTGGAGGAAGTGATATGTGAGTTGAAATCATTATAAAAGATAACTAAGATTTTCCAGAGGAAGGGCAAATAATGGTAGTCATAAAAGTACAGGCACACATGTAAGAAATAGCAGAAAGGGTATAATGTATTGCATAAAATGTGAGGCGGCTGCTGCTGCTGCTAAGTCGCTTCGGTTGTGTTCGACTCTGTGCGACCTCATGACGGCAGCCCACCAGACTCCTCCGTCCCTGGGATTCTCCAGGCAAGAACATTGGAATGGGTTGCCATTTCCTTCTCCAGTGCTTGAAAGTGAAAAGTGAAAGTGAAGTCGCTCAGTTGTGTTAGACTCTTTGCAACCCCATGGACTGTAGCCTGCCAGGCTCCTCTGTCCATGGAATTTTCCAGGCAAGAGTACTGGAGTAGGTTGCCATTTCTTTCTCCAAAATTTGAGGCTAGGAGTGGCAAAATGACAATCTGGCCGTTCCTCAGAAAGAGATTCCACTCTATATGCAGAATAAAATTGAAAACATAAGTATTAGTTGCTCAGTCATGTCCGAACCTTTGTGACCCCATGGACTTTCACCCGCCAGGCTCCGCTGCCCATGGGAATTCACAGGCAAGAATACTGGAGTGGGTTGCCATTTCCTTCTCCAGGGGGTCTTCGCCACCCAGGGATCGAACCTGGGTCTCCTCCATTGCAGGCAGTCTTTACTGTCTGAGCCACCAGGGGAGCCCATTGGAAACATGTATCTACACAAAAACTTGCACACAGACATTCGTATCAGCGATATTCATGGTAACCAAAAAGTGGGAACCGCCTCAATGTCGTTAATGGGTAGGTAGAGGTGCTATATACAGACAGTGGGATCTTACTAACCTATAAAAAAGCATGGAGTGATGGTATATCCTGATGGATAGGTGGGTGTGGTATATACAAACAGTGGAGTATTACTAACCTATAAAAAAGTGTGGGGTGATGGTACATCCTATAGCATGGGTGAACCTCAGAAACATATGCCACATGAAAGAAACTGGACACAAAAAACCATATACCATGTTCCATTTTAATGCAATGTGTATTCTGAAATAGGCGAATCCACACAACAGAAAGGAAGATATCTCTTTGTTGTTTGGGAAACCTCTAAGAAAGAATAAAAGTCAGGAAATAGCGATCCTTTCAGAGAGAACTGTTTAAAAACAAAAATGTCAAATAATAAGTGAAAAACCTGGCGCCCCGGAGGGTGAGTTCTCTCCTTTTCTTAACTTCCCTCTTCAGGAAGCAGAGGCTCTGATAAACATCAGCCACCAAAGACGTAGCAGGTTCAGCCTGTTCTTTAGGAAGCTTTTAGTGTGACACTAGGATCAAGACCAACTTAAGTGTTTTTAGAGTCTTATTCTTGTTGAGATTTACTCTTTAAATTATTTATGTGATGTGAAGCCTTGTGTTAGGCAGTAGAGATTCAGAGGTGGGTATGACAACATTTGTACCCTCGTGAAGTTTATGGTTTCACACAGGACACTGTTGAGGAAACAATATATGATCATTAAAATTTTCAGCAGATTCAGCTATGTCCTCTGAAAGCCATACCTAAAACAAGAGTGCTGTAACCGTGTGTTTTGCTTCTTTTGGTTACATACCAATGTAGATTGAAGTGATGGTAGAGCAGGGCAGGATGGGAGCCCCTCTGAGCTGTTCTGTGTGACAGCTTGTACTGATCTTCATGGATACATGTTCAACATGTTGGAGACATGCCTCACAAGCTTCATCGCTGGGGCCCGATCTGAAAATGAAGCGGTTTAAGAATTACTGTGAGATTTCTACTGTGAACACTTTTAAATGAGCATCAAGTTAAAATCTGTTGAAGGCTACTCATCTCTTTTTTGTTACCAGTACACAAATTTAAATCAAATGCGAGGAATAATAAATGGTTTAGCATCAGAAAACATCTGGTAACCAAGCTTTGCTGGAGGAGTACTTTAGGGAGACTCCAGTAAAGTACAGCCTTGAAGTGTGTCCAGCGTCATTCGGAAATCCTCAGAATTGTGACTGCCATGATAGAATATCAGTTTTCTTAAATGCACAAAATGCATTTTGATGACAACGGGTAGTGAAGAGCAAGACCAGTTGAGGTGGCAGTGCTGAGTTGTCATTAGCCACAAGGTTCCCTTCTGTCCACCATCCTCAAACACTGCTTGACTTCATCTGTATCTCAAAAAACATTCTTACCTCATAGGCTGTAGTTTTCATAAATATTTTCAGATAGAACATTGAATCTGTTAAAGGAGACATAAAATCAGCTTGAGGGATTGAAAGAAGATTCATTTAGTGGTATTTTTTTAATAAAAGCAAACTCTGAAAATCTTGCCTTTCACACTTTGAGGAACAGTGATACAGATGTGAAGTCCCAGCTGAACAGCTCAGATGGTGGCATTGCCTTGGGAAGCCCGCCATGGTCCAAGGATTCTGTTTGTTTGCTTTTCTTTCTTGAAGGAAAAACTGTTTTGTCTTAGGTTGGTTTTTTTTTCCCCTCAGAAAGATCTGGTGAGGCAGTGGGGAACACATTAAGAGGTGATCCATTCCCAAAGGATTAGCTGCTAACAACACATAAAATGATCATATATGAATAAATAGCCATAAGCTATTGATAGCTTTTTTGTTACAGATAACCAGGAAGAAGAGGACGAAGGCTTGGGAGTTGATCTCTCTTTCATTGGCTCTCATGCTTTTGCCCGAATGGAAGGAGATATTGACAAGCAAAGAAGACTGATCCTTCAAGGGCAGTTATCAGAGGCAGCTCTGCAGAAGCAGCATCAGAGAAAGTAAGACAAACCCTTTGGACAGACAGACACTTAAGGACTAGAGAAACAAGATAGGGGCCACCTCTACTCAATGGTCTACATAATAATGTAGTCTCATTTATTCTTCCTGACAATCCAGTAAGGAAGATACTGTCCCCACTTAGTAGATGCAGAAATTCAAAGTTAATTTATTAGTGATCACAGTTAATATGTGATGAAGTCAGTATTCAGATGCACCTCTGATTTCAGAGCTTCTACACTTTCTATTGCAGTTGTAGTACCTCTATAAAATTATATTATATTCTAACAGCAGAAAGGGAAAAGGGGAAGTCAAATTACAAAGTTTTTACTTAATGTTACTATATTTGTAATTAAAGCATAGTCTATGGTTGTTGTATTAATGGTTAAAGAGCTTTATTTCCCCCTGATTTATCCTAAGGACTTTCTAAAGTCATTGCATTTCTTTTAGGTGTTTTCTAAAACAATTCTGAATAAACCCTTTTTGAAACATAAAGAAAAGCAGCTTTGGTATTTCTGGGTAAGTTTGTCCAAGGACTAACAGATTATGCTTGGAAAACAAGCTGCTTTTCAAAAAATTTTAGAGGAAAGGAAAAATCATAAACCATAATTGGTTAATATTCACTATCTTTTAGGGTTGATTGAGAGGGTAACATCTCTTAGGGTTGTTGTGAGTGTTAAATAAGATAGTATAATGGACTTAGCACAGTACCTGGCAATTCTCGCAAGCTCTTAAAATTGGCCACTGCTGTTCTTTTTAATATTGAGCAAAGTTTGACCTATTATGTACCTTTGAGCTTGGGTACTTGCCACCCCTTTTGACTGGATTACTCTTGTCCTTCAATTCGCTCTCCAGGTTTCAGCTCAGACTTGATTGCCTCCAGAAACTTAGCTCCCTGGAGATAAGTTGGAGTAGATGGAACAGAAGTCTGCCTCTCCCATATGCTTTTTTCTTTACACCCTATACTTAACCAACCAAAGCATAGCCTAGCACTCATTACACTATACTGTAATGATGTACAGTTGTCAGTCTCCGTATATAAAGTGGAAGTTGTACTAGATGATCTCCAAGTCCCTTATAGAATTAGAATTTTGTTTTTCCTGAGTTCCTGCCCTTCCCTTTATTATTTTCATAAAGAAAAGCAAATTAGCCACTAGGGGGCATCAATAAACAAGCTTTTCCAAAGGCACGCACCATCAAATGATAGCTTCAGTGGTTTCTGAACTTGACCATGCGTAAGAATCATCTGGCAAACATTTTCTTTAAATACAGTGACTGGCCTCACATGTCTGGGACTTTGCCCTTTATGTACATTTTGAAACTTTCATATCACGATTTATGCACTGCTAGATTTGGATACCTTTTAACTGTTTGGTCTCAGGTCCGCTTTGCATGCTTAAAAATTATTGAGGACCGCAAAGAGCTTTTCTCTTTACAGCTTGTACCCATTGATATTTATTACATGATAAATTACTTGTTCAGGCTTCCCTAGTTGCTCAGTGATAAAGAATCCACCTGCCAATGCAGGAGACAAGGGTTCAATCCCTAGGTCAAGAAGATCCCTTGGAGAAGGAAATGGCAACCCACTCCAGTATTCTTTCCTTGGAAATCCCATAGACAGAGAGAAACCTAGTGGGCTGTAGTCTATGGGGTCTCAAAGAGTCAGACACAACTTAGCAACTAAACGATAACAACAGAATTATTTGTTAATTCATTTGAAAAATAACCCATTATGTTTTTATGAAAAAAATAACTATTTTTTAAGTTAGTAAGAAATGCATCGTTTTACATTTTTGAAAATATTTTAATGTTTGATTTAATAGAAAACAGCTGGATTCTGATATCAGCATTCAGACTGTTGCAATATGTTGTTTTGTGTGAAGTATATGAAGAAAATCTGACCTCACTAGATACATAATTGGAAAAAGGAATATTTTTCTAGCCTCTTAAAATAATTGGGGATATTAGTTGATATTACACCATAACTCAATAAATGGTACTTTAATAATGTTTAGTTGTAATATGAATTTGTAAGTTGAATCTCAGACTATATAAATTTTTGTATTGTTATATTAGAATGTGTTGTTTTATCCTGCACTTTGAGTAGATTTTGTAATAGGAATTTATGGCATGAATTTATAACATGGTGCATTGGCCTTTTGGAAAGTATTGACTCAATACTTTCAATACACAATATTAAAATATTATATTTGTTAGTATCACCACTGCTCTCATCAGCAAAGTCCTCAGGTGTTAAGAATGGTTAGCTTCTGGTGATGGATGCAAATTTGCCAACATTTTATATTTATATTTATATATTTATTATATATTAATATATTATATATATATATATATAAAAGCTCAAGTTTTATCACTGGTGGTAAATACTGTTGGTTGTTTTTCTCGATATGACAGGGTCACTTTATTCATTTTTGAGAAAATATCTGCCAAATACTCATATTGAATAATCACAGTTTGCCAGTCATTAGTTGAAGAAAAATGGTGTTTCATGAACAAAAGGAACTAGTTCAGTTAGCAGGTCAGACACTTAATGCTTTACTTCAGGACAACCTCAGGCTTCGGCCTGCAGAAATGCTTGGTGTGTTCTTCCCATTTTGTGACACATTAATACTAAAAAGATGTATTCCCAAGAGTTGATGTAATAAAATTAATAATTTTTTCTTCCTCATAAAAGGCATTCTTAAATGAAACTGTCTTTTTTTTCCCCTGAATTTTTTGACAGTTAAGAACACGATGACTACTAGTATGATCTGGTGCCTCCACCTGGATTCATGCTAACGCAGCAGTTTCTTTTGTACCATCAGTGCAGATGTCAACACAGTAGAAAAAAAAAAAAAGATGTTTTAGTTTTATTATAAAGACAGTTTGACCTTGCAGAGCCCCTGAAAATATCTTCAGGCCGTGGACCACACTTTGAGAACCACTGGTCTGGGTCTTCTAGCAGTAGTTTATCATTAAAAGGAGTTGTGGTAATTACCTGATGTGGTTTTCTGAAATGTAGTATAGCATTAGAATCACCAAGGGTACTTTCTAAAAATTCATAGGCCCCACACCAAACTTTCTGAATCAGAACCTCTGTGGAGAGGGCTCAGGGTCCATCCTTCTAAGGTTTCTTAAATGATTTCTTAGACTATTTTGTGTCTGATCTGGTCTGGCCCCTTTAACTTATAGAAGGGTAAATTGACCACCAAGAGTGACTTGACCATAGTTACAACTAATTGAGGATGAGCTACAGAAGCTCATCTCCCTTCTCTACCACTGTGTCCAGGCACCTACAAAGACCAGATTCAGAGAAGCTGGGGAAAGGAGCAGACGTGTTCTATATGCATGTGCAGAGAATTACACTGTCATCACCCTTCTCAAACTAATTACCCTAGTCTCTCTTCCTGTCTCCCCGTCTCTCTCTCACACACACACACCTTATTCATTTCTCTGTGGGTAATACAGATAAACTGCCGTTTGTTTGTGTCTGGACTGGATACTTGCCTGTCTTGTGTCTCTCTTTTTAGTGAGGAGATTTGTTTCACTTAATAATGACTTGTTCAAGCCAGTATTATTAAAATAAATCTGTATTCACTGAGCCCGTGCTTTCTGGAAAGGGATCCTCAGCAAAGGGGTAGGTTAGAAAGGACTATGAATGCAGCATGTAAAGCATTGCCCTTGGTAGAAAGTGATGAGCTTGAGACTGAAATTAGTCTCAGAGTTGACAATTTCTGTTCAGTTCAGGAAACATGGGATATTTACTTTATTCAAGATAATATTCTAGAATTGAAATAGGTAAAGAAGGTAGTCCCTTTAGAAATTCATGAGTGAGCCACACTACCTTAACATGTCAGGGTGTGTTATGTATGGTGCTCTGGTTGTTGTGGACAGCTAGTTAACACTTAATAACCTACAGGCTTGGTGAAGAGTACCACTTCTGGTTCTTAAAGCCTGGACCAAGAAACAAAGGGCAGTCTTCAGTTAGGAATTTCTTTTTGAAAGCCTTCAGTTCTTGCTTCAGTAACAAAACTAATGGTCATATGGATAGGTTATAGGATTAGTTCATTCCTTTTGTAGCATTGGCTTTTCTCTGTGTAATAATTCACTTTAACATCTAAAATAATTAGATAAGTTGTCTAATTCTTGATTATTATTTCCAGGACTTCCAGCCAATTGTGACACTAATCTGGGTGTATCATAAGATAGGAGTTGGCTTCCTTACAAAAATTAGCAAGCAATCTAGATATTCTTTTACGAAGATCCAGCTTTTAAAACTCTTAATTTGTTTTTCAAGTACTTTTTTCTTTTTTCCTTGGTTGGCTTAAGATCCAGTTGCCTATAACTCTTATGTCATTTCTCACAGTAAAAACTTTATCTCATTCATTATTAAATATTTCTTGAACCCTTACTGTTGTGCCAAGCTAGAAACACAACAAAGTGACATGCAAGGCAAATCTAGCCCCAGGCCTCATTGGGCTTAAGGTCTTGCAGAGAAAAGAAATGTTAAACTGATTACTGTATAAAGATGTATTTAAATTGTAGGATGCAATAAGAGTATATATAACAAGGGTTTTAACTAAATCCAGTGTGGGACAGCTGCGTGAGTCACGGCCGACTCTTTGCAACTCCATGGACTGTAGCCTGCCAGGCTCCCCTGTCCCTGGAATTCTCCAGACAAGACTACTGGAGTGGGCAGCTGTTATTCAGGGGATTTTCCCAACCCAGGGACCGAACCTAGGTCTCCCATATTGCAGACGGATTCTTTACTGTCTCAGCCACCAGGGAAGCCCAAGAATACTGGAAGGTAGCCTGTTCCCTTCTGCAGGGGACCTTCCCGACCCAGGAGTCAAACCGGGGCCTCCTGCATTGCAGGAGGATTCTTTATCAGCTGAGCTACCAGGATGGCCCATTAGTATATGAAAATGTATTTAAATTACAGGATGCATTACGAGTATATATAACAAGAGTTTTAACTAAGTCCAATGTGGGACAGCTGCATGAGGTCAGGAAAAACTTTTGTTAATTTCAAAGTGAAAATTTTCCCTGGACTGTTGGTTGTATACCAATAAGTAGGTTAGTTAGTGGACTTTTAAGAGTAATTTAGCTTGAATTTTCTTCATTATTCAACTCCTGGTTGTGCAGTTGGATGGTAATTTATTAACTAGGAAAAGCGGCCTTGTGTTTGCTTTGTGAGGACAACATCCAACCTTAACTGACTGCAGTCTATTGAGAAACCGTCTACTCAGTATATCTGCCTGGAGAGCACCGTAGTGGGTACTTTTGCTGACATTGTGATGTATTTTGTGTGACTGTTAACCCGTGATTATATTTTGCCTATCAAAGTAATAAGCCTTTGAGGTTGGGGTGTTTTTTCTTGTTTGATTTTTAGCTTTTGTTTTGATTGTTGGATTAGGATGAAAGGTTCCATGTTTTCATTGAAGTAAAATGGAAACTAGCAAAAAGTGAGGTGCAGTTTTCAAGAAATACAATGAAAAGTTTAAAATATTCTTTGAATGGGGGGTGGTAAGCAGGGATAATCAAAGCAAATTTACACAATCTATAGAATGGAGGGGACAGTTAGAATAAAGAAGAAACCAGATGAAGATGGCAGTTGTGAGTTGTTGCATTGGAATTCATCTCAGGGTTCTTAGAAACTATAACAGTTGTCAGTGTCTCAGGAGTGATTCTGAACCTTTTTTAAATCATAAAGCCTTTAAGAATCTGATATAAGCTGTAACCTTCTTCCATGATCATGTTCATAAGGATTTGCCTATCCTAGGATCTCAAGTTGTTAATTACAGATGAGGTTGAAAACATTTTTGAGTTTACACTATTTCATTTCATATTATGGGCTAAAATTAATTTTAGATGGGTTAAAGACTTAAATTTTTAAAAATTAAAATTCATGGAAGGAGTCATAGGTTAGTATTCCTCATACCAATAAGAAAAAACAGGTTTCTTAAAATATAAAAAGCACTGACTTTTGTAGGAGAAAAATTAATCTTGACTATATGAAAGATAAGAACTACAGAAAGTGGGGCAATTAAGCGTAAAGAAAGTGAAAGGCAAATTGCAGAATATGAATATTCACAATACACACAACTGGCAAATGATTAGATAAAAAATATATGAAGAACTCCTACAAATAAGTGAGAAAAGAACAAACAACCCAGTAGATAAATGGACAAACAGTATGAACAGGCTTCTCACAGAAAAAGCCAGGAAATATGAAAATAATCTCATCATCAGTAGCAACCAGGAAAATGAAATACAATTTCAAACCCAGCTGAATGACAATTAAAATATTTGCTCAGATCAAGTGTTAAAGAGGACATGGCTTCTTAGAACCTCCTGTTCATTGCTTGCAGAAATATACACCGGTACAAAACTGGGGAAAACAGTTTGGACCTTGAACTGTTCCACTTCCATTCCTAGGAGTGTCCCCAAGAGAAACCAAACACACATACACCAGGAGATATGTAAAATAAGTTGGTTGCAGCATGTTCACAGTGGCAAAAACCTGGGAATAGCCTGATGCCTGTCAGTAGGAGAGTGGATGAAAACTACAGTTTTCGTGTAGTGTAAGTACATTATGGGTAATAGTCAAAGAGAGTGAACAACATTGATACCCAACAATAGAGGTGAATTTTAGCAATATAATAAGTCCAGAAACTAGACCCCAAAAATTTTGTGATAAGCTTTTGTCTTTTTTGAGTAGTTAAAAACAGCCAAAAAGCTTTTTAGGAATATGTGTAGATGAATTGAAATGATATAAAAAGGAAAACTAGAAAATGAGGAACCTGAGATTCCATGTGACGAGTGAGAAGAGGCAGTGACTTGAATTGGAGGGAAGTGACCGTGGTGATTAGATGGAGGTTTGTGATGGTGCGTGCTTTTGTTTTGGGTAGATTTTGGAGTGCTTATTACATTCATTAAAAGTAACTAACTAGATAACTACTTTTTAAAAGACAACCATGCATGTACCAGTGATGAGAGTGTTTTGAAGCAAGGTGATTAGTTCTGTTCTGTGCATCTGAGTTCCAGTTTAAATTTGTTTTTTTCTTTAGAGTTCACTATGAATACATAGTGACTGAGTGTCAGGAACTACCCTAGAGACTTGCTAGAAATATAGAGACAATGAAGACATAGTCCCTATCTCGAGGTCTAGCAGAATGGACACAGATACTGCAGTGAGTGGGGAAAGAAGCCTTGTGCTGATCTTTGTGATATGAAGCGGTAAGCAATTCTACCACAGTTCTGGAACTTGCTTCCACCTGCTCCTCACTCTGCCCCAGACCCCTGCTTCTACAGTCCCCCTCTTAAGAGACATACTTGATAGATAGAGCATTTAGATGTCTGCTAGATTGCTTGTCTCATACTGTATTATTACAGTGTCAGTTGTCTTTGTAATATGTCTATCTCATATATTCAGCCTTAAACTGAATCCAAGGGCCTTTTGTTACTCATCTCAGGGCTCCAAAATACGCTGAGTAATACTTATGTTTATTATTTCATTGAACAAAGATTTGAGTCCCTGCTATGATGCAGGCATTGCATTTTTGCAATGTCTTTGAAAAATGAGGTATTGAATACACAGAGTATAGAAATGAACAGATATTTACTGAATTCCTGTTGCATGTTTGTGTTATGACCTGTGGTGCTCATAAGACACTTAAGATATACTACTCTCTTTAGTCTTGATATGGAGATGGTTTAATCATAAAACAATTAGAAAGCAGTACAGTTGGGGGATTAGTGTAAATAACCTGGGAAATAGCTCTGTCTGAAAATATGGAATTGTATGTATGAATAGGGAGAACTAAAATAAACATAGATCCTTTCTTGACTTGCACATTATATCTTAAACTAACATTAAAAGCTATTGACTTTAAATTCAGTTAGCACAGGTGGGTATGTTTCTAAATTTAAAAAGGCAGACTATAGAACTGTGCAATACTAAGTGGTTGTTTTTTTTTTTCTTCCAGCTTTTAAAAAATGTTTGGCCATGCTGCATGGCTTGTGGAATCTACATTCCCAGACCAGGAATCTAGCACAGAGTCCTAAACACTGGACTGCCAGGGGATTCCCAATACTAAGTTTATTTTTCACAAGCAACAATTTCCATGAAACTACCAGGCATATTGCTTGTTGATTACAATCCCTGTGTAATAGACTTCCTATTAAATATCCTTAGTTGTGTGGTTTTATAGCTGAAGGGTGTTCTGCAGAAACACTGTTTTGCAGATCAGGAAACAGGTCCATAGAGCTGAGGTGTCTTTACTAAGGTTGCACAGAAAGTGGTGAGATGAGAACCCAAATATCCGCTCTCCTGGTTTAGTTTTCTTGTTGTTGTTTTTAATGTTGTAGGATGTTGCCAAATGAGACCTAAAAGCTCTTTCAGATTTTTAATGTTTTTTCTGATTTTAACATTCTCTTAGCCAAAGCCAAAATGCAGTCTCTATGATCTGGTATATGGAGTATCAGTAGAGCTAGTGTAATTAGTCATTAAATAAGCCCGGACTTCCCAGAAAAAATTTACCTAGTTTCTTTGTGATCTGGCAAAACATGTACGACACTTAGCTGTTTTTCTTCAGAAAAGTAAATTCCTTGAGTGTCTGACCATGTCTATTCACTAGAGTATTCTCAATACCTCTTGTGAAATAAGCAGTCAGTAAGTCTTCATTGAACATCTCTTGTGGAAAACTGCTATTGCTTTAAGCTTTGTTTGCATTTTTTTTCAAGTAGAGGAAAATAATAATATTTTTTTAATAATAGTATTTTAAAAACAATGTTAGTTTTGAGTACTTGGTATCTTAGCCAATTATATGAGTAGTCTTCTTTTGCTCAAAAAAATTTTTTTAAGCCGTCTGGTGTGAACATCTTCCTTTCTCAGTAACTCATTTGTTTTGTTTTTTGATAACAGATTCAGCTTAGTGAACAGCCTCTTTAACTCCTTCCTCATTATAATAAAACATTCTTTAAGCTAAAAAAAGGTCTCATTTATAAATTTACAACTGTTTATTATAATTATCGTGTCCTTTATTTCTCTAGTTATAATCGCTGGTTGTGTCAAGCAAGATCTGAGGATCTATCTGATATTGCTTCTCTAAAAGCCTTATACCAAACAGGTGAGCTTAAGGGCATAGTAACTTATTCTTTTACTGATTAAAAGACATTATTTGGCATGCTATGACTTCATTCTTCTCTGATTTTGCCCATTTTGTCTATATATAGTTGGGGGTTTTTTTGTACAATAAAGATAGATTTTGCTCATCACCAATATGTTAAAAATATCATAATCAACCTATAAGATTTTCAGCTAGTTATTTTATATTGGCAGACTTCATTTCTTCTTCAGAAATGAAGTCCTTTTTCTTCCTTTTTTGTGTCTTATAAATTTTTTTTCTAGTTTTAAAGTACCATAATCTCTCTATACAGAATTCAAACCTTACATAAATATATAACAGAGACAGTGAAAGTTATCAGATTCCCCCTTTATATTTCTTTTCCAGACAGTACTTGTTAATTTTCAGATGTGAGTTCCATTTAGTTTTTCTTGAATCACTAAAGTTATTAAAAGTTGTAGTTAACTTAAATAGAAAGCTATTTATAAAATGATCTTTACCCTGTGACCTTACCTTTGGTTTCCCCAGATTTAAAACCTGTAACAGGGCTTACCTTAAAAGCAAGGGCAGTCATCAAGCTGAAAAAAATTAAAAAGTGGTTTTCTACATAGTGAAAGAAATCCGAATATGAAATTGAAAAGCTTTTGTTCCCAGTTTTTACTCTTTTACATTTGTGTAGAATATTTTTATAAGGTCAGAGCCCAGGACAAATAATACTCTTGGAATGAAGTTTCTGTGTGCTGATTACATTTCCTGTTTGTAGGTGTGGATAACTGTGGTCGCACGGTGATGGTGGTAGTTGGAAGAAACATTCCTGTAACATTGATAGATATGGACAAGGTAAGCCATAAAAAGGCCTTGTTTTATAAATAACATTGATTTAAAAAAAATAAGTAGGGCATGAATTTGGAATCAGGGCTTAGAATGTGAGATGAGACAGAATTGCGTGTCTGTGACTGAGTAGCAGCCCTGGTTCTACAAGTTGGCACATAGCATTTCAGTCAGTCAGGGGTCTGGCTTTGTGTTCTAGGAGAAGCAGAATACTGAAATGCCACAATGGGATCTCTAAAAACTCAGCTACTGTGTTTCAGACATGACGTAAATGGTAAGATTTTGGTTGGACTCATTCTGTATTATCTGCCTTTTTGAAAAAAGAAACATAAAGTTTTGAGAATCTATCTGAAGAGAAGAAACCAGAGATGTAGTTAACCCAAGATATCATTTCGTAATCCCTTCTTTTGAAGATAAAGGACAGAAACTGATGATTCATAGCAGAAGAAATGATATTACTAGTAAATAAGAAAATGTTCAACCTGATTAATAGTGAAAAAAGTGAATTAAAATGAGGTGTCTTTTTTCACCTTCAAAATTAGCCATTATTTTTATTTTTTATTTTTTAGCCATTACTTTTAAATAATAATCATTGTCATCAAAGATTAATTAAAACTATCAAAGTGACCTAGTAATTTCATTTCTGAGAATTTGTACTAACTACTAAAGAAGTAATCCTAGGAATGAAATAGCTATAGGCCAAGAAACTGCCCAAATTTTGGAATACTTGGGCAAGGGACAGTCAAATCCAAAGGATAAATACATAGATCATCCTAGAACATCAGTTGTAATAGAAACTGACTGCAAAGGAAGAGACTCCCTTTAATAAATAATTTTTAACCATAGTAAAAAAAGTACTTAAAAGTGTAAAAGCTGCATACAATTTTAAGATAAAACACCGTTGTGCAAAAGCAGATGATCATAGCTGGTCCCTGGTGTTTAGATGAAAGAAAAAATTGTGAAAGCCTTGGATCTGGCATGTTACTTACAGGCTCATTTGTGACACAAAATAACAAATTCTGTTAATTATTTTGCATCCATAAATGGAATGTTCTGTGACCCTGAAAAAATTATGGTTATAGAGTTAAGTACTATAGAGAAATGTTTATGATATAGTATCAATAGAAGAAAAAGTGTTACACAGTGTGTGTACATTGACCTTTTTTTGGGCGAGGGGAGCAGGACAGAAGTTTAAACATAAAGGTAAAAACTGGAAGTCATTATCTTAAAATGGATTTCATAGTTTTAGGGAGAATTTGTTTTCTATATTTTTCTGTCTTGTGGCTATACTTCTTTATAAATGAAAAAATTTAAGTCAAAGATGGAAAATTTGAAGCTGAAAATGGGTATCTTAATTGCCCTGGGCAGGAGGTGGTAAGTGGTCAGAAAGAGGACCAGAAGCAGTCTGGTAAGAGCAGAAATAATAAACACACACACACGCCCACACACCCCTTAAACACTCATCTATTTATAATAATCAGTATGACATTTATTCACAGCATTAATAATGTGATTCATACCAATAAAAGTGTGAACCCCTTTGATTCTGAGGTGTATTTGCATGGTGTTCTGAACGTTTGTGATATATCATTTCATTTATATCGTGAGGTCCAAACGAGCTAACGACTGGAAATAAAATGTGTTTCCTTAGTGCTCTCCTCTGTCTGCTCTGGTAGCAGTTGGACCCATGCTAACTAATCCTTAGTAGTCCATTCGTGTGAATGCCAAGGACTGCCCTGAGGCAAAAATGGGGAAATAGCCTGTGTGATCGTAATCCTTCGGTTGCTGCCTCTTAGCGTCATGTGTGTCGTTCCCTGGTGTTTAGATGAAAGAAAAAATTGTGAAAGCCTTGGATCTGGCATGTTACTTACAGGCTCATTTGTGACACAAAATAACAAATTCTGTTAATTATTTTGCATCCATAAATGGAATGTTCTGTGACCCTGAAAAAATTATGGTTATAGAGTTAAGTACTATAGAGAAATGTTTATGATATAGTATCAATAGAAGAAAAAGTGTTACACAGTGTGTGTACATTGACCTTTTTTTCGGCGAGGGGAGCAGGACAGAAGTTTAAACATAAAGGTAAAAACTGGAAGTCATTATCTTAAAATGGATTTCATAGTTTTAGGGAGAATTTGTTTTCTATATTTTTCTGTCTTGTGGCTATACTTCTTTATAAATGAAAAAATTTAAGTCAAAGATGGAAAATTTGAAGCTGAAAATGGGTATCTTAATTGCCCTGGGCAGGAGGTGGTAAGTGGTCAGAAAGAGGACCAGAAGCAGTCTGGTAAGAGCAGAAATAATAAACACACACACACGCCCACACACCCCTTAAACACTCATCTATTTATAATAATCAGTATGACATTTATTCACAGCATTAATAATGTGATTCATACCAATAAAAGTGTGAACCCCTTTGATTCTGAGGTGTATTTGCATGGTGTTCTGAACGTTTGTGATATATCATTTCATTTATATCGTGAGGTCCAAACGAGCTAACGACTGGAAATAAAATGTGTTTCCTTAGTGCTCTCCTCTGTCTGCTCTGGTAGCAGTTGGACCCATGCTAACTAATCCTTAGTAGTCCATTCGTGTGAATGCCAAGGACTGCCCTGAGGCAAAAATGGGGAAATAGCCTGTGTGATCGTAATCCTTCGGTTGCTGCCTCTTAGCGTCATGTGTGTCGTTGTTTACAGCTACCCCAGTGGGTCATGCTGGCCCTGCCCACGCTGTGTCTCTGCTTGGTACTAATGTGTCTCTTAAATTTCATCTTCCTTGTAATGGCATACTTTTCTAACTGCTCCAAGTCTCATTAAGTTTGAGTCAGAGCAGAAGTGCTGCCCAGCCCACTGCCTTCTGCTCACTGAACCTGTTCTCATTTTCCTCATTCAGTTCAGTGTTAAAGATACTGAGCAGATTAGCCCTCAGAGTGAGCCATGTGAGGCATGAGTCCATATCCCAGTGGAGACTGCAAAGACTTGTCACTGAATTCAGGTAGAACCTTCAAGAATGAATAAAAGTCTAGAAATTCTCTAACAGTTTTGAAATCATTATCCCGGAGAGAAAAGACCTGGTAGTTGACTGAAGAGCTCTTTTGTATATATACAAGAGCTCATTTGAGAGGATGGAGATATTCTCTTCCATCACTTAGGACAGAAAGGGAACGTACCGTAGCCTTATGGGAACTATATGGGAAGATCTTTTTGAAGAGATACTTGTTCTTGATGTCTGCAGTGTCTAGAGCATAGATTAGATTAAGCTCCTGGTTTTTTTCTCTCTCTTGGCTTCAGGTGGCACATTGGTAAAAGAATCCATCTGCCAGTGGAGGAGATACAAGAGATGTAGGTTCAATCCCTGGGTCAGGAAGATCCCCTGGAGTAAGAAATGGCAACCCACTCCAATATTCTTGCCTAGAAAATCCCATGGACAGAGGAGCCTGGCAGGCTATAGTCCATGGGGTCGCAGAGAGTTAGACCCAACTGAGCACACACGCATTGTGAAATAGACTACTATACAAAGTGATCATTACTTTTATTCCTTTTTCTTCTAGGCTCTCTTATATTTTATCCATGTAATGGACCACATTGCTGTGAAGGAATATGTATTAGTGTATTTTCACACACTGACCAGCGAATACAATCACCTGGACTCAGACTTCCTGAAGAAACTCTATGATGTCGTTGATGTCAAGTTAGTTACTTTCTCAAATTTTGAAGGGAGACAATAGCTTTTTCCTTTCCTAGTATTGAGCAGTAGCAACATTGTGGTGTATTCCGTGAAGGGATAGTTCATATTTTGTATCAGAGTAAATTCATGTTTAAACTTTTTCCTGCTTCTAAACTCCTGGAGAAAGAGTTAATTGTTCTTAATGTTGATTGGTTTTAGGCATGGCTTATACTGACCCTTTTTTTGGTTTGTTTTGAATCAGGTACAAGAGGAATTTGAAGGCTGTTTATTTTGTTCATCCAACATTTCGTTCAAAGGTAGGTATTCTTCTTTCTGCTAAATCTTGAAGTTAAGTGCACTACATACCTGCGTATTAAGATATATTTCGTCATCTTAATTCTTGCTGTTACCGTTGTGACTGCTAATTTCCTTGTTTAACCTTCATTTTTTTAAGTGATCTCGAGTTGTGGTCCTAATGCTTTGGTCCCGTGTAACTCGGATATCTTTTGTCAGTGACCTTTACAAGCCATTAGCCCCTGTCCTTGCCTCTCTGTGCTCTCTGTTTGGGCTTACATGATGGCTCAGATGATAAAGAATCCGCCTACAATGCAGGAGACCTGGGTTCAATCCCTGGATTGGAAAGATCCCCTGAAGGAGGGCATGACAACCCACTTGAGTATTTTTGCCTGGAGAATCCCCATGGACAGAGAAACGTGGTGGGCTGCAGTCCATGGGGTCGCAAAGAGGTCGGACATGACTGAGCGGCTAAGCACAGCTCTTAGTTAATCTGGGCTTTTTCCTGCCCCTGTTCCTGGCTAATTCCTATTTTATCCTTCACATCTCAGCTCAACAATTACTTCATGTAAAAAAGAAAAAAGAAACCTGTCTGACCAGTCCTCCCACTAGTAGGTACTCCTACAAGTCATCAGATATAGCAGTCGTGGATTGGGATATAAATTTTGAGAGTCATCATCAAGTAAATAGAGCTTTAACTCTTTAAAAGTGTTAATGAATAAAATCACAGATTTAGACCAAAGACAACAGCTGAAGGCAGAGCACTGGGATCAGGGAGGAGACCAAGAAGTAACCAAAAAGCAGCAGGAGAGCCAAGGTTGACTAATGCTGTGGAAGCCAGTGGATGGGCAAAGCATCAGAGATGGTAGAAATAGTTATTATTTTAAAGTGCTGTAGAGAAATTAAGTAAGATAAGTAGTGAAAAGTCCTCATTATATTTCATAACTAAGATGAGTGAAGATTTCGGTGAGAATGTTTTCCACTTTGGGAAATTTGTCACTGTGTACAAAATTGTTGTTTCTCATTGAAATACCATCTTTAAATTTTGCATGAAGTGTTTTAAATAATTCTTTTTAAAGTTGCAAATTTCCTTTTGGTCCCTCAGTGTTAGAACAGCACAGTATTAAGTGCTACGCCTATGGGAACACTGCTTGGTCAGGCTTTTTTAAAAATGTAAAATGTGTGAGGAGTCAGTTAGATCACTTATAATTGTCTTTCCTGCTCTTCTTTCAGTTGACTTCTGACTACATAGTCTTACCAGATAGTATACTATTAACTTGGGAAAAGTTAACTTCATTATGCTCAGCAGGTGGCTAAGTGTTTTTTTCTATAGCACTTACGGAAGTAATGCTTGACTATTTCCCAAAATTTCATCATCCATTTTCTTTTTTATTCATCCAGTAGCTACTGAAATTTTTTCATAAATGGAGACACACAGAAGGATTAGCTTGATTTTTAGTATGTCTTTGTAAGAATGCCCACTATTTCCCACTTGTACTCAGAGTTGTACTAGAGGTTCTAGCCAGTGTAATATGGGAAGAAAAAGGACAAAAAGCATCTCAATTTAGAAAGGAGTAAATAAAACTGTCTTGATTGACAGATGACATGATTATCTATGTAGATAATCTATGTAGAAAACCCTGTAGTATCCTCAGAAAAGCTATTAATACTAGAGTTAATGAGTAACTTTTTAGCATAGTGAGGTATTGGCATGAAGGTAGACAAATTGATCAACAGAGCAGAATTAAGAACCCAGAAATAGATTCACATATATATGGATAACTGATCTTTTTCAAAAGTGCAAAGTTGGGTCAGTGGAAAAAGGATAGTCTGTTCAACAAATGATATTAGAACAATTGGATATCAGTATGCAAAAAAAATGAACTTTGATCTGTGACTTGCATCATGTACAAAGTTAACTGAGAATGAATCAAGAACCTAAATGTAAAACATAAAACTTTTTAAATTTCTAGAAGAAAGTATATGAGAAAAAGATTTGTGTGACCTTGAGTAAAGCAAGTTATTTCTTAAATTAACACCAAAAGCATAATCTATAAAAGAAATTGAACTTTATTAAAATTAAAAACTTCTGCTCTTTTGAAGATAGTTAAGAGAATGAAAAGATCAACTGCAGCCCAAGAGAAAATCTTTGTAAATTAAACATTTGTCTAATAAAGGTCTTTTCTTTTGAATATATAAAGAAATCTCTAAGTAATAAGGAAACAGTTTAGAGATAGACAGAAGATTTGTACAGAAATCTGGCTTAACCAGAAGACATACAGATGGCAAGGAAACAGATGAAAAGATGTCGAGCACAATTAGCTATTAGAAAAGTACAAATGAAAGCAACGTGAGATATTACATTGCTATTAGAATGGCTAAAATTTAAAAGATGTTTTTGTAGTCCTCAGTATCTATTCATAAAGCTAGAAAAAGTTGAATCCTGTTAATTTATTATGAATGACAAAACTAATAAAAAAACAATTTAGAAAAAGAAAACTTAGGAAAATGTTAATGATTATCTGAGTGGTTTCTGTACCTATGTTCCTTGTAAAATTCTTTCAACTTTGGTAAATGTTGGAACATTTTCATAATTTTTTCAATGGTCAAAGTTGTTTTTTACTTCTATCACAAATTCAAACTTATCTAAAGAGTATTCCTTTGTGAATTCACCAGACTTATTATGAAAATATATAGCCACTGTTTGCTAAGATCTGACTTAGCCTCTCCTCCCCTACACGAGAGTCAGTGAACAGCTCTCCTTCCCTCACTGTGACATCAGTGGATAAACATTACCAGAAGTTTCAGTGTTAGAGCCACTCGCTTTGGCTGTCACTAGAACTGCTTCAAGTAGGAGTCGGTGCAAATAACAGGTTGGGCAGAAACTGAAGGGAAAATGTATGAAGTAAGATCCATTATGTTACCTTTCCATAATATTTTGGCATGGAGAAACCTTTGGAGGACTGAGAGAATAAAGCTCATATGTTAAGAAATCCACCATTATTTTATACTAAGTCAAAAACTGTAAATGGAATGGTTGTAATTATAAAAGAATGAGATGAAAAGAAATCAAGAGATAATAAAACAATTGAATCACACTCTTCTGACTTCCATACTTCTCAGATCTTTTCCAGTGCACTCCACCCAAAGTGATAATAAATTGACTGCTCGTATAAATCACCACTCTCTTTCTTTTTTAATATTTCCTAATAGAATGCAAACTAATAATATTTAAACCCACTGTTGATTCTGGCTTTATTAGATCACTTAAGAGCACACATGTGAACAATCTTTTCCTCGTTTATATTGTTTTGTGATCCCATGTTCTTGGCTCTGCACTTGTGGATGATTGGGTGAAAGAATTTCTGGAATTCATAGAATATTCAGGAGTCTTTTTTTCAAATGTTTAGTTTTCTTTGGGCTTCCCAGGTGTCTCAGATGGTAAAGAATCTGCCTCCATGTTTGGAAGACCTGGATTCGATCCCTGGGTCAGGAAGAACCCTTCAAGAAGGGAATGGCTACCCACTCCAGTATTCTTACCTGGAAAGATTTCTTCGGTTTTTTAAAATAGTAGATACTGGTAATGGAAGTTTACCTAAATAAATGTATATGTATGAGTTATGTTGTAAGTAATTGAAAATTACTGTTCATGGGGTTCTCAAAGCAAGAATACTGAAATGGTTTGCCATTCCCTTCTCCAGTGGACCACGTTTTGTGAGAACTCTCCACCATGACCCATCCATCTTGGGTGGCCCTACACAGCATGGCTCATAGTTTCATTGTGTTAGACAAGGCTGTGGTCCATGTGATCAGATTGGCTAATTTTCTGTGATTGTGGTTTTCAGTCTGTCTGACCTCTGATGGAGAAGGATATAAGAGGCTTATGGAAGCTTCCTGATGGGAGAGACTGACTGAGGGGGAAACTGGGTCTTGTTCTGAAGGGCGGATGCTCAGTAAATCTTTAATCCAATTGTCTGTTGAAGGGCAGGGCTGTGTTCCCTCCCTGTTAATTTACCTGAGGCCAAACTATGGTGGAGGTAATGAAAATAATGGCAACCTCCTTCAAAAGGTCCCATGCAGCACTGCTACACTCTGACCCTGACCCTGCAGCAGGCCACCACTGACTCACGCCTCTGTGCCACTGCTTCTTGAGAGTCCTTTGGACAGCACAGAGATCCAACCAGTCCATCCTGAAGGAAATCAGTCCTGAATATTCATTGGAAGGACTGATGCTGAAGCTGAAACTCCAGTACTTTGGCCACCTGATGGGAAGAACTGACTCATTTGAAAAGACCCCCCTGATGCTGGGAAAGATTGAAGGCGGGAGGAGAAGGGGACGACAGAGGATGAGATGGTTGGATGGCTTCACCGCCTCAATGGACATGAGTTTGAGTAAACTCTGGGAGTTGGGATGGACAGGGAGGCCTTGCATGCTACAGTCCATAAGGTCACAAAGAGTTGGACACGACTGAGCTACTAAACTGAACTGAATTGAAAATTAAAAGCTGAGCTTTATAAAAATAAAACAAACAAAAAACTGAAGACAATGCTCTTGGGTCTCCCTGACAGAAAACTTTTAACTGAGTTTCAACTTCTATCTGCTTTGAGTAACATTCTCTTGTTAATGCCTGAAGAATGTAAGGGAGGTAATGAGGAAAAAATGCAATGGAGAAATGTTTGACCTTCAAATACTGAGTGTATATGATCACTGCCCATTCTTCCTAAACCCAGCCTTCTCTTTGAATTTACCACCACCCCTTACCATGTCAGTATGTGCAGCGTAGACGAGTCCTTTCATAGAACTGTATAACTAAGAGGGACTTTAAAAATCATTCAGGTATAATTTCCTCATTTTGTAGATGAAGATACTGGGCCCAGATTGAAGTACATTTGTTTTTATTGTAGAATGGAGGACTATTAGACCATCTCTACATAGTAAAGTAGTAAGTCCAGAAACTCTTTGTTATTTCTTTCAACATATATTGAATTCCTTACTTTTCATGTTGGGCTTTGATTAGACCCTATAAATAACAGTGTTGAAGGAGACAGTCCCCACAGGGGTAATTGGTTGAAAGAATCAGCTACTACCACAGAGAATGTCAGTTACACGGTAATACGAGTAACACGGTGTTGTTGGAACTTTAAGGAAAGCTGTGTCTAGCACTTTGGGTGGAGGGTGGTCAGTGAAAGCTTTCTCACGGAGGTGAATTCTGACCTGAGCTCTGAAGGACAATTTTTCACCAGGCAAAGAATTGAAGAAAAGGGGTTTAGGAGTAAACAAAGCAGTTTGTGAAAATGTCCTGAGGTGAGAGACCGTGGGACACGAATTCCCTGTGTAGTTTCTTCTGGCTCCATAATTTTATACTTTTATCCAAGTAGCACAGTGCCTTGCCTAGGATAGGTAGTTGTATATGTCTTTGAACCATTCATTGCATTTAGTTTTTTTTTTTTTTTTTTTTTTTTTTTTTTTTTTTTTTTTTTTTTTTTTTTTTTTTTTTTTTTTTTTTTTTTTTTTTTTTTTTTTTTTTTTTGCCTTAGGAGATCGTTATTCTGCTTATGAGCTGGCTCCTTTACTAGAATCTAATTCCTCATTAGAGGAATGGCCATGTCACCGTTGCCCTGTATTACTGACAGCTGTGCACAGTGCTTAGAACTTAGTAGATTCCCAGGAAATGTGTACCTCCTTGTGCAAATGCATCTCCTAATACATCCTTGAGATACTTCTCTGTTCTGACTCTGCAGTCTTATTCTCTTGAACTCTTCCTAGAATCTCTAAAATCTCCATGGTGTCTCTGTAACTCTTACTAATTTATCAGCTAACTCTTAGCTGGTTGTATCCTAATCTAGAATTTTCACTCATCTAGTTTGCAGAAGTTTATATCAGTTAGGTATATGACAGCCTGTATTTAAAAAAAAAATGATGTAAAAAAACTGGGGATTGGTGTGTAATTAAATGACTGCCTAATTTAATTTCTATTAACCCACTTTGTTCTGGAAAGGCTGAGTGCCTCCCCCTCCCCTCCACCACTCTCCAAATAAACTTGTTAAGGTGAGAAGGTGCAGGGGGTAATGTTAATATTGAGGCCTTACACCAGTCATTCATAGTATAGCCAGAATAAAACAGTGACCCAGGTCATAAACCTCATTATGCAATAGACCTTATCTCCATTCATTCATTCATTTTCAATGAATGCATGGTTCTCTCTGTAGCTTTTAACACTTTAGACCATTGTATGATTGTCTGCTAGGTGCTGGGGAAATTATAAGAAACTGTTTATATTCCTGTGAAATAGAAATAAGTGCTGTACATGAGATTTAAACATAAGGTTGTGAGAATTCAATAGATGGGATAATCTGTTTGGAGCCGTCATGGAGAAATGGAGATGGGTTTCTGCCAAGTCTGGAAGTTTGGGCAAGATTCTGATAAAGATAAGTTCAGTGTTGGCTCTGTTAGTCTGTGCTTTTTCTCGTAAGTAAGCATGAAGAAAGTATTTTGCATTAGGGACTGGGAATATGTGAAAGGTTTGGAACAAGCCCTGAAAAACATGATAGGGTGTCAAAGAGAAACTAACAACATGATTGGCAATTGCCCCAAGTGTCATGTAGTGTGTTTATAATGTACCCAGTTATATCCTGGAGTGTGCTGTGCCAGTACACCAAGAATTCATATACACAGGTTACCTTCTTCTGTAAATGGGGATAGCAGTAACATTGTACCTACCGCACAGAACTGTTGTACAAGTGTGTGGTAAACATGACTATTTATGACTGTCAATTTGGATAGATGAACAATAATTTGTAAGTTCTAGCTATTGCCTAGTTCATGCCAGTATTGTTTGCTGTCAAGAATTCTTTTTTTTTTTGCAATGAGCAAATTTTGCAGGTTAACTTTTATAGAAAAATTAAATGTTGTGAAGTAAAATGAGCAGGGGTGGCTCTATATCACAGAAAATGCACTTTGAAAGATTGCGTGCCAAGTGTCAACTGAAAAATAAATGTCTCAAAAATTGGCAAAAGGTTTCCATCTCATTTTTAAAAAAGTGAAAGAGTTTCTGAGATTTGGAGATGTTAAATATTTTCACTGTACCAGTGAATCAGTATTCCATCAGAGAGTGTAGTGGTTTTGACCACTGCCCACAACAAAAAAGCACATTGTATCACATCACAAGACACTACATGCACAGGAGCACACACACCTATAACAGAAACTGAGGCTTCAGGAGACAGCTCATTCTTACTATATTCCTTAGTAATTGTTGCTCTAGCATGTTTCTTTTTGTTGTTTTTAATACTGTTCACAGTCCACTAAACTGATTGCATAATTCAGTGACATACTACAACCTGCATTTCAAAAAACACTGCTTAGTACAAGATTTTTTTGATACCAACTTCAGTTATGAAATAGTTTTTATCTAGCATAAATTTTCAAGATCCTGTGTGTATTTCTGATTCTTGCCACTGGCTTAAATCATTTTTTTTTCTTCTATTAATCAGGTATCAACATGGTTTTTTACCACCTTTTCTGTCTCAGGACTGAAGGACAAAATCCACCATGTGGACAGCCTCCACCAGCTGTTTTCTGCCATCTCTCCAGAACAGATTGACTTTCCTCCTTTCGTCCTTGAATATGATGCCAGGGTAAGAAGTACCAGGAATTCTTCCTCACCTAGTATATTATTGTAACTATTTTATAATACAGGTCTAAGCACATAATCTTTTCATTATAAGATGCTGTTAATACAATTAATGTGTTTTAGTAAATTTGATAGTATCATTTGACTTTTTTTTTTTTTTTGACATTCTTTTCCTAAGGTAACTTTTAGGAAAATGCTTGATTCTAAGAGAGGGCCTTCCCCCCTCTTTTCAGTGAGAAACATTTTTGCTGTAGGTATAAATCCAATCCTTGCTTGTATTGTCAGTTTTCCACCACCTCTGAGACATACTTCTGCCTAATTTTATTAAGACTAAATGACTTTTCATCTACATAAATAGAACCAGAAGAATCTGTTGGTATCCAGCATTTTTCAGCATTCATTGTAAGCCAAGTAGCCTATCTTAGTCTTTACCCTACTAAAAGTTCCATTTGTATAATGTTTGTAAGAGTATCAACCAATAATATTAGCATTGTTACTTACATCAATCTATTAAACACTAAGAAATGGCTACTCTAGAATTTCATCAGAGCTCTAGTTCTTTGTGGTTATTCGCACTCACGTTAGTAGTTAAAAACAAAAAAGTCTAACGTGCTTGCCAAATAAGGCAAGTGATAATAAGGCAATTATCAGTTGCCTTATTCAACTATTGCTGGTTGCATATTTTTGGGGCATGAAGCAGAGCATATATTTGTAGGTTATCTTAAGCTTAAAGTGAATTATTCTTCCTTAACTATTGTACAACATATATATAGTAAAGTAAATATTCTACAAGACATTTTTTTTCTCTAGCATTTCTCCAACTTCAGTTGTGATTTCTGTTCCCCTTTATGTGATAGGTATGTGTGCTCAGTCATGTCTGACTGTTGTGACGTTATAGACTGTAGCCTGCCAGGCTTCTCTGTCCATCAGATTTTCCAGGCAAGAATACTGGAGTGGGTTCTTCCTGACATAGGGATCGAGTCCACATCTCCTGTGCTAGCAGGCAGATACTTTACCACTGAACCACCAGGGGAGCCCTTTCTATCTACTTAAGGGCCCACAAAGAAGGCTTTCATTAGATATCAGCACCATCCTCAAGCTTCGTTTTGTTTTTCTGTCTTACATGTATGTGCTTTTAGGTTTTTGTTGTTTGTTTTTTTTTTTTTTTAAGATTTTATCTATCAAATACAGGCCTAATTAACAATTTTATTAATCAAAATTAAATAACCTGCAGTGTAACATCATCTCTGGATATCTCTCTGTATCTGTACTAGAGCTTTCTAAAACTGAAATATTAGGTGCTCTATACCTAAAGTCAAAGAGAGGAATAAGAAGAGAGAAGAAACAAAAGAAAGCGTCAGGAGATGATGTGGACAGAGCAGGCAGAGAGCACATTCCTAGATCCTGGAGCTCTTCACATTATGCTGCAGTCCTTTGGTGCCTCTGTGGTCAGTGGAGAGTGTTGTACACGGAGAACTCCTGTGTTCCTGTTTAGAAAGATGGCTAAAGAAACCATGTAGAGAAGGATTAGACAGAGTAAGACCATAGGCAAGGAGACAAGTAAGAGGCTATTCGAGAAAGCCAGGGGAGACTTGAGACTAGAGCTCGGCAGTGATAGTGATAATGGTAAGGTTTGAAGATTTTAAGAGATAGTTAAAATTAGATATTTTAGGGAATAAAATGCCCAGCATTATGGTGACCAAGCAGCCAGTCACTGGGAGGAATAAAGGAGGAAAGAAGCCTGAGGTGACTGCCAACACTTCTGCTTTGGAAGACTTGGGGAATGTTATTGCCACCATACCAGAGAGGCAGTTTGGAGAAATAGCACTGGGGAGCTCAGAGAGAGGAGACAGGTGGTCCCTTAAGCGTGTGACACATTAGGTTTGAGGTGCTGCATGGGAGGAGAAGGGGGCAACACAGGATGAGATAACCGAATGGTATCATCAACTCAATGGACATCAGTTTGAGCACACTCTGGGAGATAGTGAAGGATGGGGAAGCCTGGCATGCTGAAGACTATGGGGTTACAAACTGAGTGACTGAACAACAAATGAGACACTGAAGTGAAGGTCTAGAAATTGGATATTTCGTTGTAAAGAAATTTTTTTCCTTTCCTAGAAAGAATTAAAAATATGCTTAGAGGAAAAGAAATGAGTGTATTGTTGGTCAATTTGATTATCATGTTCAAGAATGCTTTGCCCATAGTAGATTACTTATTTGGTGAAGATATGATACGCTGTTCATTACTGCCCATCAGCTTCTATTTTTCTGGATATTATGTGACTTAGAATAGCAACATAAATTTATAGGATTAAAAGGCACTTTTGATGGTAATTAGAAGGTAATTTTTATCTATCTAGATCAAAATGGTACTGAGACCATTTCAGAAAGGGAGCTGGTCAGCATTCGTATAATCAGAGAAGAGAGTGTAGAGATTTATCTGGTCACAATTCTTCAAAGTTTTACAGTTGTTTCCAGAAATAGAGAAAATATTTGATTGCTCAGCAGGCTCTTCCACAGTGTGAGACTAATATAAAAGATCTATTTCATGGCGTTAAGAATTAGATTTAAAAAAAAGAATTAGATTTTCCCTTCTTACTTTATCACAATTTAATGTTGATATAGGAAGCTTAGAAAAATACCATAGTGGAATAAAATGGAGAAATTTTAAAGATGGATTGTTAACCGTTTCTTCTTAGTTGAACTTCAGGATTTCTCTCTTCAAGCATGTATCTTAAGCATAGCGTCTGTGCATATAGAGGATACTGGTGGGGTTAGTATAACAGATCTTGGTAGGAATTTTTAAATTTAAAAAAAAAAATTTTCCTTCTTTTTTTTTTCTCCAAGTATCCCAAAATGTAGCCAATCTTCTGATTTGGTTCTACCAAAAATATTTTTTTAATCTTTTTGCTACCTGGTCAGAAAGTCTAAAAAAAGAAAGTTTTCCTAGATATTCTCTCTGTTTTCCTGATTATGGTCTCAGATCCATTTCTGCTCCAAAGTGTCTGCCCTGAAGAATACAGAGCTTTGGATTAGCTTAGTCACTCAAATAACATTTACCTTCCTACTGTGTTTAAGACTGAATAGATTTAATGCTCCAGAACTATAATGCAAATATACTTTCAAGCAATACTGTTTTCACCCTACCTCATTCTTCATATCTAATTGTTATCTTACTTTGAGCATTTTTTGTTTGTAGTTTACTAAAAAAGTTTTTTGTCAAAGAAATACTTTAACAGCACGAAATGAATCTTATATCTCATAAATCTAATTTAGAGTCCAGCTACCATAAAACTGTCTTGATTTTTAAGATAAAGTTAGCCAAGATAAAATCAAAAACTTTCCCCTTACACGGATTTGTTGCTTTCTCTATTTGACAATAAAATTCTGGCCTTTGATTCTCCATCTTGATCTTCGGTTCAGTTCAGTTCAGTCACTCAGTCATGTCCAACTCTTTGAGACCCCATGAGTCGTAGCATGCGAGGCCTCCCTGTCCGTCACCAACTCCCGGAGTTTACTCGAACTCATGTCCATCGAGTCGGTGATGCCATCCAGCCATCTCATTCTCTGTCATCCCCTTCTCCTCCTGCCCCCAATCCCTCCCAGTATCAGGGTCTTTTCCAATGAGTCAGTTCTTCGCATCTGGTGGCCAAAGTATTGGAATTTCAGCTTCATCATCAGTCCTTCCAATGAACACCCAGAACTGATCTCCTTTAGGATGGACTGGTTGGATCTCCTTGCAGTCCAAGGGACTCTCAAGAGTCTTCTCCAACACCACAGTTCAAAAGCATCAATTCTTCGGCGCTCAGCCTTCTTCGCAGTCCAACTCTCACATCCATACATGACCACTGGAAAAACCATATCCTTGACTAGATGGAGCTTTGTTGGCAAAGTAATGTCTCTGCTTTTTAATATGCTATCTAGGTTGGTCATAACTTTCCTTCCAAGGAGTAAACGTCTTTTAATTTCATGGCTGCAATCACCATCTGCAGTGATTTTGGAGCCTCCACAAATAAAGTCTGACACTGTTTCCACTGTCTCCCCATCTATTTCCCATGAAGTGATGGGATCTTGAATGCCCTAAAAATTGTCCTTGTTAAAAACCTTGCCCCTCAGGCATGTCATGGAGAAGCTCATTTCTGCCAATGTGGTTATTCCTCAAGGAGAATTTTTGTTTCTTATCTCAAAGATTCAGCACACAGCAGGACAACACAGTCTAATACGAAAGAATCTGGGCTTTAGATTTGGATAGACATGGATTTAAATTCAGACTGTTTTGGTTACCAGCTCAGTGACCTAATCTGTGTGACCCTCAGTTTTCTGTTCTGTAAAATGAGGATGTTACCTACTTCATGGCATTATGTGAGGATATTAAAGGATAATGAAAGAAAAGAACTGCTTAAGTGTCTGCATATTGAATGTTGATAAATGGTAATATTTTTAAGTATCATTATCCTGATTACCTCTGCCTACATTATAGCAATTCTGACTGACCCCAGTGGAATTGCTGTGTTGACAGAAACCTGCTCAGGGCCAAGCATGTGCTGGACATTGCACATACATTATATCATTGACTCTAAATCCCTTTCTTTTATATTCCCAGTTACATTGGTCTTAGTGTTTAATATTCTTGTCATTTTTCTTTTCTGCAGGAAAATGGGCCTTACTATACATCTTATCTTCCATCACCAGATTTGTGACCTGCTGTCGTTCAGCGCTCCTGGTTTCTAAAGACTCCACTTTCTCCGCAGATCCACTCCCTGTTGAAGCAATGCTCCTTTTTGCTGTACAGCTCCAGAGAGCCTTTTGTCCCCCGCCTCTCTGGTATTTTTTTATTGACTGTATATTTTCTGGCACATAGGCAATCTGAAAATGGTAGGCCATTCTGAACTGTACACTTATTTTAAATTTGTATATTTGTATCAAATGAAAATGTTCACTTTTAGAGGATTGTTAATAGCAATTGGGGAGCAACTTCTGAGTATCTTCAGTTTCCTGGAAGGACACTGGGTTCTCCATTAGACAAGCTGCAATATCATTCACATCATCCCTCTCACGTTGCACGCCTTCTGTGTGTATGCAAGTGTTTCTCCAAATATATAGAACCAGTGTATGCTGACCGGATGCATTGTTTGCTTCACATCTTGGCATTAACGTTTTGTAACAGATAATTTGGTGAGGATAAAAGAGAATCATCTGGGATCAAGGATGTAGAAAAAAATGTATCTGATCAAAAATGTCAGAAATCGTTAGCAAGATACAGGTCTTAGAATTTTACTGCACCAGTGAAGACAAAGACTTAAGGACTAAAGTTCCTGAGTTTGTATGATTTAAGATTGTCCCTGTTATGGTCTCAACAGTGGAGGAAAAACAAGAAGACTTCCTTCAGCCTTTTTCCCTCCGTCAGAGGTGGTTTGGTCTGCATGTTCAATAGTACAGCACATATTAGTAATCCTAGTAGAGGGTGTCTCCCGAGACGCCATCAGTGAGCTTTAGAGAGAGCGCGGCTTTCCCAGACTTGTGAATGATTTTATTCGGCTCTTAGGTCTACTTCCTCTGAGGACATTTCCTAGTAGTGTGTCTCGAGTTGCCTACGTCGATACGAAGGAAGTGTGTTGACATGAACCAAACGCCAGACCACTTTTGCAACTCAGGCTCTATTTGTGCCTTAGCTTGACTAAAAGTTAGTATGATGCTAGCTACCTCACAGAGGTATCATGAGGACAGCATTCAGAAAGCGCTTTTGATGTCTTTGGATGAAAAATGCTGTGCAGTGGGGTGTCTTCAGTTAGTTTTTCAATGAGAATAAATATCCTTGAGGGAGTGCTACAGGACACTCCGCTTGTTCTTGGCACATTTTGAGTGACTTCCCTTTTCTTGGAACAAGAGCTGTTAGTGCAAATTCCCAACCCTTAGGATCCCTTCCCATTTTGTTCAAGTGTCTTCTGGCCTACTCCTCCTCCAGCGCTACACTTTAGCGAGAGGCATGTGTTAGCCATTTTAAATGTTACTTCTTGAATGAAGGTCACACCAACATCATTTCCATCTGGGTTTCTTCATACTCCTTTTAATTCCTGCATTCACCACTCCCCCTCATCTCCCTCACCCCATCATGTACACTGGCAGTTCGGAGAAGAAAAATTAGAATTCTAATGTGCTCAGGATTGATGCTTCCAAGGGTCCCACTCCCTTAGGTCCAAATTAGTTCTTCAGTGGAGATAAAAAGAAACATCGTTTTTCATTTATGATAGAAAAATGCCCCTGTAGTTGTGTTAACCCCATCCTCTGTTTTCCTGCATAAACAGGAAGGGCCTTTGCATTTCTCAGAAAACCAGTCTTGTCTTTTGCATGTAATGGACACATCTGCTTTGTGCCAGTAATCAAAACCACTTGTTCCTTCCATGTGCTTGTTTGTTAGGGACTTCCTTTTATGCTCCCTAGGTCATCAGGGCTAGACAGCCAGTCAAATGTCTGGTATTAAGCTTTGTCTCAAACAGTACTACTTCAATCCTTTGAGCCTTGACTTTTAAAAATCTGAAAAATTAGCTTCATCTTCTCCAGTCAATTCTTAGATCATATTTGAGGTGGCATTTCACTAGGACCAGTTGTAAAAATACACCTACTTTTCTCTGTTATAGCTGGACTTGGCTACCTCATGTTGGCATCTGGCCTGAATCATTTCCTTAGAGGGTTCAAGCTACTTTGCTGTTTGGAAAGAACCAAATTTTATAGTTTCTTATAGGCAGTAATTTATAAAAGATGTCCCTTTGCAATATTCACAGCAATATATTAATGATTAATAACAAGCAGGAATGTTCAATCGATGTCCTAGAGTGTAAAGGTGGTATGGGGCTATATACATATCAACTGCATTTAATAATTTAATGATGACTAAAGATAAGGTTGCTCTTCTCAGTGAAACTGAATTTGGTATTGGACCAAGTTCATGCTTTTATATAGCTGTCTGAAATGTTATATAATGAAGTTCTTTTAATGTACTAAACCCTAAGAGGGGAGCATAGTGACCTTGATGTTGAAATGATAATGTAACGTTCAAGGTATATCTGCCTAGATGACACATACCACTTTCAAGGATACACACATTAGAGAATAAATGGGTGATGACCCCTAGCATCTGATATTAATTCAAAGCATCCTCAAGTCCTTAATTTAATTAAATTTCTGTCATGCCAAATGCTAGTTGAATTGCGGGAGAAACTACTTATAGGCTGTTAACTTAAATTAGTTCATGGAAGACATAATATGATTTTTAAATTAAGTATGTTTCTTGCTTCAGTATATATTTGGGTTCCTAACTCATCTATATTCATCCTTAACTCATCTATTTTGCAATTTCTTGATGGCGAAAAGACCTTCTGAGAAAAGCTCAGTATTTATTAGACTCAAGGTTTAGAGACAAGGTGGTTCATATCTTAAAGATTTTTTTTCTTTATTTAATATATATCTTATTTCATTGACTGATGCTCCATTATATTTATTTTTTCTAAAGTAAACCCTCTATAATAGTTGAGACTAATAGAGGATTTTTAGATTACTTTTTAGGGTAAATGGATATAGATTTTTTTAATCAAATATCTGAAGTTCAAAATGATTTAATCTCTCTCATTTCTAGAGAGAGATGGGTATAATCACTGTAGTAGCAGAGTGTGGCTTGCCTTTTTCTACCTGTCTTCTCTTTGCTTAGATGTTACTTAATGAATTCAAACTATAGATAATGGTTTAATCTTTCCTTTGCTGCAGTTACTAGGAAAGCCAGAAAATGTAGCTTCAGTATGGGCTAATAAAACCACTCCTGGTGTTTCCCCTGGCACACTGTCTGTGTGTGTGTATATATAGTTTAAATTGCTTAATATATGAACAGAAATTACCGGAATTTGCCCTGGAAAGAGGAAAGTTTTATGGTTCTAGTAACAGGGGTTGATTGTATTAAGGACCAAAAGTACAAGGTAGCATGTAAACCTCTAAGATGAGAGTTAGCCAGTGACTTTCAGACTGTGGTTCTCTTAGGTTATAGTCATCACAATCAACAAGCACTAGAGGGCTTCACCTGGGTAGGTGCTAGTATACCTCATAGTATGGGATGGACTCTTGGTTTGCAATTGCCAAAGAACGTGAAGGATAAAGGAGGGTTTTAACCTGTGATCAAGGTCACGTCATAAACACAGATTATGAGGATTGCCTCCAAGGTCTAACCATTTATACATGTATATCTCTATCTACATACATATTTATATTTACACACAGTAATCTGGTTTGTTTTACATTCTTTGAATGTGGTTTAAATGGTCCATATGTAGGGAACATAAAGCAATAAATAGCCTAGTTTAAGCTTTGATTTTACCAAAATAGCCCTTGAAAAGATGATATCAAGGTCTTTAGATATTAGTGACTCCCTTGGATATTAGTTACTAACTTTGTTTTCTGTGTTTCTAAGAACAGTATCTCTGAATCGCAAGTATAACATGACTTAAATGGATAGGGCCTCTGAGTTCAGGTCTTCCTCGTGGCTCAGACGATAGAGAAGCTACCTGCAGTGCAGGAAACCCAGGTTCGGTCCCTGGGTTGAGAAGATCCCCTGGAGAAGGGAATGGCTACCCACTCCAGTATTCTTGAGAATTCCATGCACAAAGGAGTCCATGGGATGTCAAGAGTCAGACATGACTGAGCAACTAACATGAACAAAGGCTGAGTTCAAGATGAAAAGTATAAATATTCTCTAGGTAAATTACACTGACAGAATCATAACTGCTGAATGTGAGCTAGTATTTTTGTTGAAGAGTTAAAACCAACACATTTTGTATATACAATCATATCTTTTTTTTTTTTTTTTTTTGGTGGTGTGTTTTGTTAGTGTAATCACACAGTCATCATAAACTGAGCCAAGACTTTGTCAAACCAGATGTTGTGGACCAAAACATTTAAACAAGAGCTGAACATATGTAAATGATTTTAATAGCTTTTGGGCAAAGGAGACCTAACAAAGTTTTGATTGATGTGATCTTGAGATTTGTTTATTCAAAACTCACAAGTTTTGAATATTTTTCATTTAAAAATATATTTTGTTCTTTTTGAATTAGAAGTTAGATCCCTTTTAAAGAGAGTCCCCCTCTATACAAATACAGCCATTAAGAGCTGGTTAGTAAAAGGTAATGTTTATATTGAACCCCAGGGTTAGGACAGTCTTTTATGGCCACTATACCTGGCATTTTTCTAATCACTTAAATTAGTCTACAGAGCAGTATAAAATGCAGTAAATTTTATCATCAACCTTCTCTGTGGAGACCTAGGCTGGTGCTTCTCAAATTTTAATGTGCATATATTAAATCAGCCAGGAATACATTAAAATGCAGATTCTCATATAGTAGGTCAGGGTGGAGCCTGGGATTTTCAGTTTCTTTCTTTTTTTTTTTGGCCATGCCACAGGGCACGTGGGATTTTAGTTCCCTGACCAAGGATTGAACATGTGCCTCTTGCCTTGGAAACCCATAATCTTAACCTCTGGACCACTGAGGAAGTTCCCAATTCTCAATTTCTAACAAGCTCTTAGGTGATATCAATGCTCCTGGTTGAAAGACCACACTTCAAGAGTCTAGACTATATTTACCTTCCATATTGTCCCTGTTTCTGGTAAAAGAGATAGAACTTAGCATTGTAATAATACCTTCTGCAGGCCAGGCATTCACACATTCCTTATCTCATTTAATCCTCTTAACAAATCCTCTGAAGTACAGGGTGATAGAAGTTCGGTGCTGCTAAAGCCCAAAGACACAAGCAGTGCAGTATAGAGAGGTATTTCTCAAACTTGAATAACGCACATCCCCTTTTAATACAGAAAAATTCTCTTAGCTCCTCAGTTTTTTACTTTATTTATTACAGTGTTATCTATGTATATGTAAAGTTACATATAAATGCCTTATGCTTATAGCTCTTGCACAAGTATAAAATCAAAAGTTTACAGGTCAGACACAAACTGTGAAACTAATGCAATTTAAAGTAACGCTGACTAAGCGTGGTGGATGAGGGCGTTTGCCGGGGAGGGGGTGGGGGGCTGTGAAGTGATCACGGTGCTGAGTGCTGTAACACAGCTCGGATGTTCAGCATGCCCCTACTAGCGTGTGAGTGGCGACTTCGTCTCCCGCTCGTTGTTCAAACTGTAGCATTTCTTTGTGCAGCACATAGTGGTGGCGTTTGGTCTTCATGTAGCTTCAGTACATCATTCCCCTGTTAAATTAGTCTCTGTTCTCCATAAGGTTCCACAACTAAAGCAGATCCTGGCAAGTTAAATGATACAAACCGGGGCTGTGAAACGTATTTGGCTTTAAGGCAGTTATCCAGATAATTCAGAACATGAATACTGATAATTTCTTACAAGTTCCGTCAACATGAAAACTGTCTAATTCTCATAGTAAACTCCTGAGGCTCTCATCCCACAAACATACACACAGAGACTCTTAATTCCCCTTTCCCCTCCTCTCTCTCTCCCAACAAGAATTTTTCATGGTGGTTAACAGTGTTGGTCCTCTGGCTTCTGACACACCTGGATTCAGACCTGGGCATGTTTCTCAGCGTTTTCTGAATTCCACTGTTTTCATGTATTAAACAGGGATAGTAATACTGATTGAATAGTTAAGAGAAATAAATGTAATCATATTCATAGAGCATGCATAGTAAGTGTTTATAAATGGTAGCTACCATAGCTTTGATTGGAAGTAGTAGTAACTAACCTTTGGCGATTCGCTCTGTGCCTCTAATGCTGCTAAACTCTTGCATGTGTTCTCTTACATACTGAGCTGTAGATGGTTGTTGTTCAGCCACTAAGTCGTGTTCGACTCCGTGTGTCCACGTGGACTGCAGCACGCCAGGCTCCCCCGTCCTTCACTGTCTCCCAGAGTTTGCTCACATTCATGCCCGTTGAGTCCGTGATGCTATCTAACCATCTCATCCTCTGCTGCCTTCTTCTCCTTTTGCCTTCAATCTTCTCCAGCATCAGGGTCTTTTCCAAATGAATCAGCTCTTTACGTCAGGTGGCCAAAGTATTGGGGCTTCAGTTGTAGGATTGGGGTTCAAATCCAAGGTTCAAATCCTGACTGCAAAGCTCATGCTCTTATAAAAAATAATTAATATAGAACGTCAGCACTTAGTTACTTATTTAAAAAGTTATTTAATGTTAAATTGTACTTTCTCAAAAATTTTGTTATAGAATTAATGTTTCCCTGAAGGGGAAATGGCTTAGGTTCCTTTTAATAATTGTATGATGTGCTAATCAAATTGACACATAATAAATGTAAGTTTGTTTTAAAGGCTGTCATGCTAGGTTGTGGTCCAGTGAAGATACTGGGTCCATTAGGCTTCACTTGAGCATTATTTTTCTTTTGCATATATAAGACCTGTAACTAATGGTATTATATAACGTGAGATTCTTATTGAATCTCTCTCAATGCAACTTTTTTGCATAAAATAATTCCCCCTTCCCATGGTACTATCCTGGTGTTCCTTGACAGTCTGAGAAATAATACACAAACATCTTAATTTTCACCTGTGAGACACATTTTTAAAAATTGTCTTAACTGTTCTTTAAAATTGTTCCTACTAGTACGTCTATCATTTCCTAATTTTCTGTTCAACAAAAAAAGCTAGAGTTTTAAAAAATGAACAAACATATCTATTGGCCAGATGTTTATTTCTTTTTTTGTTTTGTTTTGCTTTTTTTCCTCTAATTAGGTGTTGGGAGAATATACTAGGAGGGAGTTGTAAGAGGAACTCATTTATTAACAAAGATAGTAAACATTTGGATAAATGATTAGAATTAGTTGGAGCCACACAAAATGTGAGGCTGTCATTGAATTTTATTAAAATCTATTGTAAAAATACTTCCCTTTATGCCATCTTACGTAGAAGCAGGATAATCTGTTGTGGAAGTTACTGATTCTTTTTCCAATCCAGCCTTTTTCCCCCAACCCCATCAGCAAGATCTTTAAGTTCAATGAATGTGTTCCTCTCTGTCCACGTGGGTTATCAAGATAAAAGCTGTGTTCTGTGTGTTACTTCACTGCCTCACCCCATAGCACAGCATAAAAATCTTTCTGTGGCTTCATATCACAGACATGGCCGAGTTCTACCTGATTTTCTCTCTTTTAGCAGTCTGTTAATTGATTTGGGTTATGAGCCCTTTCTCAGTTCACGTTAGTCTCCTCTTCTATTAATTTTAAGACTGGTTCATTCTACCTTTTCTCTTATTATTTGTGTGTAATGCCCTCTGGTTTTTTGCATCTTTAAAATCCAGATTTGTTCTCTGTAGGAGTAGGTATATGAGGCATTTGACTGTTTCATTATGTCTCCTAGTTCAGATGTGTCTGGCATTTTCACTCTGAAATACTAGTTATGAATTATAACATCATTGACTTTTTAAGCATAGGTGGGTTATGTTTTCTATGAATTTTATTTCTTGTAGTAAAAGTAGGTTTTTAAAATTTTATATGAAAGGGGGTATTGGTTCTCAAAGAGTAAAAAACCGCAGAACTCTCTCATCTTACTGATGAAGAAGTAGAGACCCAGGCAAGTTAAGGCAGCCTGGACGCCTCACCAGATCCTGCGGATTGCAGATTGTTTGAAGATGACCTTGACATCTATAGCTGGAGCTCCTTGGTTTAACTGTGTTTGCCCAGCTGCTTGATTTTCACATTCCCTCTTATGTCCTCCAGGGCAGATTTTTTTTTTCTTATCATTTTTTATTTATGTTGCACTTGACTTAGCCAAGTTCCAGGGAAGGACCAAGTTCAGGAATTAACAGCAGAGGTTATCAATCATTCAGGGACTGTAAAAATATTTGGGGATGGGAGATGATTGTTCATTTGAAGTTACAGGTGTGTGATTTTAGTTTTTTACCCAACTATCCATTCATTCCCATTCACTGTCCACCTCTTAAGTAAAAATTCCTCCTTCCGACAAAACTGAACAAGAAAGCAGCTTTTAAAGCGTTTGATTTTGGAAACACTGAGAAAATGCCAATCTGAATATGATAAATTTATACCACCTAGAGAATTGCACAGACTTTGGCAGTGCTACCCTAGCCAGTGCCAAAGCACACCAAAATAGGCTCTGTATTAACATTGTGGAGGCTCTTGCAGGAGAAACTAAATTCTTATCTATGAGCCCATTTTTCTGTCATGTAGTTTTATAGCATTGAAATTCTCTACTTCTTCCTGAGTCAGTAAGCAAGATCACAGTACAGAGATCCTATACAGCACAGAGGCTATACTTCTTCCACTCATTCAGTAAATAGTTCCTAAGGATCTATATATTAAAATAATGCTGGCTGCCATAACAAATAGCAATGAACATGCTTAATAGCTTAAACACATTAGAAAATGTTTCTCACATAAAGCCTGAATAGATATTACTGGTGAGCAAGCACTCCTAGTCCTGGTTCAGAGACCTAAACTCCTTCAATTTTGTGGCTCCATCATCTTCAACATGTGGCTTTCAAATTGTTAGTTGCTCGGTCGTGTCTGACTCTTTGTGATTCCATGGACTAGACATCCAGCCAGGCTTCTCCATCCATGGAAGTTTTCCAGGCAAGAATAAGGAGTGGGTAGCCATTCCCTTCTCCAGGAAATCTTGACTCAGGGATCAAACCCCTGTCTCCTGCATTGCAGCCAGATTCTTTACCCTCTGAGGCATCAGGGAAGCTCTGTGGCTTTCAGAGGATACACACTTTCCCATTTCAAGCTGGCAGAAGGGGAAGAACCCGGAGCACTTGTCACCTGGAGGTGACACATAGCACTTCCATTCATATTCCACTATTTAGAACTCAGTCATTGGCTATACCTAACAGCAAGGTCAGGAGCTGGGGAACGTAGACTGTCTGGGGGCCCAGGAAGAGAGGCGTAGGAACTTGGTGCCCAGCTTTTGGCAATAATCCAAGCAGTCTACTACATGCTAGAAAAAATGTTAAAAAATATGTTCCAACCACATAGGAATAAATTACCCTGCAATGAAAATGCTCCACTAGAGAGATGTCAAACGTCAGAGAAGGGTGTTGGCACATGATCACAACTTTGCCTGAAACAAAATCCCATGGCATAGCTTAGGATGTATCTGTAAACTGAAGCTCCTGGTTCAGACCCTCTACACCAAATGTGCTTGTACTCTAAAGCAGAAAGAATATGGAGGCATCCAGATGCCTGTTACTGCATCTTACAATATCTTACTACTTCAATTTTGTGGATCAAGAGTATTGACTTCTTAGAAATGCATACTCTTCATTCCTAACCCCAGAACTATGGAATCAAAATGTGCATCTTATCAAGGTTCCCCCAGTGATTGGCATCCACATTAATTTTGAGAGTCACATTGTGATCCTGGCTCTGACACTTATTAGTGTGACTTTAGCTAAATTGCCCCAACTCTGTCCCTTCCTTTCATCTGTAGAGTAGGGGGTAATTGGATATTGGGGTATCTCTCTAGAGATAATGTACTCAAATGTTAAATAACACCTGACAGCAAGCATTGGATATTTTCTTACACTAAGTATTTACTTTAAAAAACAACTGTAAGGAGATACAGCTCTTTGAACTGTTAACTCTTTGAACACATCCTCTTTCAACCCGTAGGACTTCAGCCCTTTGAAATGGTGAGAGGTCTTTTATTCACATGGTTTAGTGTTCCTTAGAAATGTATCAGCTCAGAAAAAATAAACATTTCCAAAGTCAGTGAATGGTGTTTGTCCCAGTGAGCCCTAATATAGACAGCAGCCATGATCTCAATGAATTTTGTAAACTTTAAAGTATACACAGATGTGATCTTCTTACATGCCCAACCTTGAGACAGTAAATTCTTAAGGAACTTTAGTTATATATAGTAACCTTAGATTAATTGAAACAGGAAAAACCATTTATTTATAAATTAAATAATTTGCTTCAACCAGAAAATAAGTTGGTTTTCAGCCTTTTGGAAATGTGTTTTTCTTGTGTAATCTTTGTGTCTCATTTAGTAAGTGTAATATATGCATATTAAAGTTAATTTTTGCTTTATGT